TTAAAAAAAATAAAATAAAATAAACTAATAAAGGACTCTATTTGGTATCCTTTATTTCTTTATGGCAAGATTTTTTCATATGTTTTCTTGCCAAAATACCCTCTTTATAAAGTTGCTTTTTTGATAAATGTAATTGGGAAGAGACTATTTTGTACATCTTTAACTCAAGTTTCAGTAAAATATACTGTTATTCTTGTTGTTCTTGATAGAATTGCGTACATCTCTGGAAGAACATCAGTCTGCCTTGGAACTTATAATGAGCAAGTATCGAGAGCAAATGTTTAGACTGCTAATGGCTAGCAAAAAAGATGATCCAGGTATAATAACGAAGTTAAAAGAGCAGCACTCCAAGGTAATCCATTTTATAAACATCATTTGAAATGAAAAGAAGCACAAATCAGTTAACTTGTGTTGAGATTTTTTTTTTTTGCTGTTGTTAAATCACAGGTATCTAACATGATACTGAATACTTCATCTTTCTGAAATTTTCTGCTTTTCCTTATTTTTTTCATTACTTGTTACATATTTTGATTATCCTCCTAACTCCTTTTGTCCCCTAATAGCTTTAACATACTTTCAAAAATAAATTTTATTTGGGAAGTTAAAGGTAAGTGTATTCAATTCAAAATTATTCTGTAAGGTTATCTGCTTTTAAGAAATATTTCTTCTAATATGTGTGTTGACATTTGTTGCAAAAACAAAAATTGAAATGTTGAAAACATTTCAGAAATCTGAAACCAGCTAAAGGTAGATTTCTTAAGACTATTTACTGAATGAGGCTACTTCATCCAGTTTATAAATAATACTGAGTATGATGGAAAAAACCATGGGCGGCTGGGGAGGAAAAGAACCAACATCTTAAAATTTTGCCCCCTGCTGTCCCCAGGCGCAGATCAGTTAGCACCATTTTTAGAGACAGAGCCCAGCTGGTTAGAAATTTGTGTCTTTCCCTCTGCTCATTTTACTTATTGACATCCCTGTGTGTTTCCTTTTTGTATGTCCCTGTGTTTGTTAGCAACTGCTATAAAGACAAGTAGAATAATCCTTTCCTATTTACATTTTAAACTGAGTTTTAACTGCTGGTGTGAAATAAAAATATTAGAATACTGTGATTTCTAGCTATTATCTGTATTGGATAATGGTGAACTAACTATTAGTTATAACTAACATTTAAGAAATACTGTTGTAAGACATGTTTTCATCTTTCTCAATTATTGAAATACATTTTAGAGTCCTTAAGATAATTCTTAATTCTTCCATCTTAGTGCTTGTGGGTATTTTTAAGTTATTATTCTATTAAAATTAAATACCGAGTAAATCTTTGTGTGACAACTTTACATTATTAAGGAAGTTAGTAATAGATACTTCTTGTGTCAATAGTAAAATAGATTAATAAATAAGCATTTAATGTTATCTAATTACACTATTCATCTTCTAACTGAAGGGGAATAACCTTGGATGTTTAAGTGGCAATCTTTTGAACATAAATTTATCTATTGTTCGAGATCATTATAAAAACATTTAAATTTAATTGTATAACTTGACTGTTTCTTTTAAAGGTACAAAGATGAATTGATTTAAATTATTGGTAAAATAAATTTAAATTGATTTAAATTATTGGTATAATCTTGAGAAATTCCAAAAGCCCCTAGTGTTTAAAACCTAAGAAATTTTTTAAGATCTAAAGGGAATACTCTGACCAAAAAGTGTTTAGCATAAGATACTGCAGGTTGCTAAGTTGTCTGGTAGCAACTATGCCAGAAGCAAATGTTTTCTAAAACACGTAAGATTTTGCCATTCACTAGAGCAATTTCATTAATCCGTAAAGTTAAACATTTCTTAAGATAGCTGTAAACCATCCTTTTTTACTATGGAGATTGAATTCATCTAAGTGCTGATCCTTACCTTCCATAAAATGACTGTTCAGTTACTTGTTGTTAATTCTAACTAATACATATTAATGTTTGTGATTTTGATTTTTCCCAAAAAGGAGACACTTCAACTCAAATAAACATTTATTAACACTTGCACTGGCTTAGTTATTAATCATAAGATGAATAAATACATATGTTCCATTACTTTGCCATAGGAGCTTACAGTGTAAAGGGAGATAGAAACATATCGAATATAAGATAGGATGTGATGAATCCTAAAATAGAGATATCATTTAATATGGGAATATGAGTGGAAGTAAGATTAGTTCTCATGAGGAGAATCTGGAAAGGTGTCAAGAAAGGAAGAAAAATCCCATCTAAATCCAGCCTTGAGTTAATTATTAGAGGGGGGGAAGTGTCAACGAGCAGAAGTGGGTGAGCAGAGACACTTGTGTGATAAAGGTGCAGAAATAAAAGATTCCAGGATGTGTTTAGGTATTGACACTCTGATAAGCCTAAACACAAAAAAATTTTATAACACATTTAGATTAACAGAGTTACACATAACAGCATTTTGGCGTGAGACCATTTTGAAACCACCGTGATACAGAATTTCTCCCTCACTTAGAAGTTTTTGAGCACAGATTTAAAAATCAGTAAAAGGTTTGAGAAGAACTCATTTTTATCCAAATACTCATTTTTACGTTATTTTTGAACAGATGCCTTTTTGGAAATCTTAAAAAAACAAACATTTCAAACAGTTGGCTAACACGCATGAACTAACACTCATCAGTTTTTAAATTACGGATAATATCCGTATTAACATTATAATGACTCTATACTACAGATTGACATGGTACATCGTAACAGCTCCGAAGGATTCTTCCTTGATGCATCTCGACACATCTTTGAAGCATCTCAACATGGACTGGAGAGGAGGCACTTGGAAGCAAATCAGAATGTACACTAAATAAAACAGTCAACTTTTGGGGTGTGGATGGAAGGGGGGAGGTCCATTTAAAACGTTCTTTTACATTGATTTTCCTGCCAGTTTAAATCAACAAATAAATGAACTTGCTTTTTAAAAATGCTGTGCTTTTGATAGCCATGCAAAAACATTCAGTGTAGAAACTTTAAATCTGTCATTTCTCTGTGTATTGTATCATACACAGCCTATTAGGTAATTGCAGGCTTTAAAGGTTGTTCAAGCCAGCTTTTCATTTTATCGCTGCAAAATTTTAGTAGTCTTTAAACAATTACCCTCTTTGGGAACATCAAAGATGTTTTCTTGGCAGTCATTTTAATCTAATTTCATAAAAATTTTGCTCAAACTATTTTAATTCAGATTTCTGATGGTTAGTAGTCCTTCAGTTTGAGGTCACAGTTACCTAAACATGCCTTTGTTTAGGTGTTATGATTTAATAGCATACACTATCTTAACTTTGTTTTAATTGTGGCAAGTCTTGACTGAGCAAAGTTGAATAAACCTAAACAAGAGTTAAAAATGAGCATTTCAAGGATGATATCACTGACAATTCAAGGATTATGTTACTGACACTTTGTGCCTTTAACTGTTTCGAAAACATAGGTCTTAGCCTCTTGTGTTCATTAAAAGGTCTATGATGCTTCCCTAAAAATTTTATTGTAATAAATGAACTATCCATGAACTGGGTCTAGAAAAATACTACTCTGTTTGAAGTCTTGGGATTTTGTTTTGTTTCGTGATTTTATTAGAACAGGCTCTGTCCTGAAAAAATTAGTGGAATCTTGTTTTCTTCCATTTTAAAGGCAAAGAATTATTTCCTTCCTGTACCGTCTTTTAACCTAAAAGGACAGTAAATGATAAGCTGAAAAAAGTGTTGGTGTTCAGAATTTTTTCATTATCCTTAATCTGCTGCTGCAGTTATCTGTATTTAACTTGCTTTTAAACATTATGCTCCCTTTCCAGAGGGAGGGGATTTAATCATTTTCAAAAACCTGTTTCAGAATATGACAAATGTTTGTCTTGACACTATTCTTGCTACCATAATCTAATCCAGGACTGTCCAATAGCACTTTCTGAAATGATGGAAATGTTATCTGTGCTGTTCAGTATGGAAGCCACCAGCCACATGTGGCTAGTGAGCACTTGAAGTGTCACTAATGCAACTGAGGAGCTGAATTGTTAACTTTTTAAAAGGTGTTTAATTTTAATTGACATATATGTAGCATCATATTGGATAGGGTAGATTAGTCCTTTTATTTTGCCGCCTTTTGCATACTAGCATTGTATAGGTTTTTCCATTAAAATAATACAAGGACTTGCATTTTTGTTGGCTAGAAGATATTGTGTGGTTTGCTAAAGATACTGTTTGTTCTCCATATTTCTTTCACAGTTTACTAGTTTTATAGGTTTTGGGGGTCGCCTTCAAATCCTTTTTACAAATAGGGTATATACGGCTATTTAAGAGACAAGGTTTGGGGGCACTTTTGAGCTCTTATACTTGATTTTTGACCTTAATATAATAAAGTCACCCTCAACTGCCAGTGAACAATGGTCTATAGAAGCTGTTTGTTGAGAAATGATTATTCTTAAGTTTCTGCTGGTTTTTAAACCTTGTGTCTGTCTCTTTCACCTGACTAGAAGCTCCTTGAAAGCAGGAAACATGTCTTAATAGGCTTCGTATTCCTATTGCCTAGCACAGTGCCTGGCACATCATGGGTGTGCAAAAATGAATACCACAAGATTGGAAAAAACTTATCTACTTGTGGTACCAAATAAATGTGGATATCTATTTTATACCTAAATTATATTTTGAACAGTTTGCAAAGAAGGCCATTTAATATTTTAATACTTAAAAGCAGACTTATGTTCATTTTACTTAGTATTTATTATTACCTGATCTGTTATGTACCAAACACAGGCAAATATAAACAAGATACAGTTCCTGCTCTCAAGGAGGATTATAACCTGGGAAAGTTTTAGGTTGGATTGAGATCATCGCTTCTTGGCCTTTTGGCTAAGATCAAGTGTAGGTTGGACTGAGATCAATGTTTAGGGGCGCCTGGGTGGCTCAGTCAGTTAAGCGGCCGACTTCGGCTCAGGTCATGATCTCGCGGTCCGTGAGTTCGAGCCCCGCGTCGGGCTCTGTGCTGACAGCTCAGAGCCTGGAGCCTGTTTTCAGATTCTGTGTCTCCCTCTCTCTGACCCTACCCCGTTCATGCTCTGTGTGTGTCTCTCTCTCAAAAATAAATAAACGTTAAAATTTAAAAAAAAAAAAAAAAAAGATCAATGTTTAGGCATAGATAATAAAGATTTATAAATCATCAAGACTTTAGAGATAAAGAGACTGAATGTGTCAAAAATTTTTGTCTTTCCCATTACTTTAGTAGGTGTAGGTACAAAAAAGGAAAGGTTGTTGATCATTTGTGGTAAGAGGAATGTGAAATAGTACTCTTCTTGCTAGTGGGTTTAGTTGTAATTATGCTGCTTATCCTTATTTATAGTCCTAACAGAAATCTGATTTCAAAAGCACATTCATGGTCAGTCAACTTTCTTATAAATGTGTTTGATATATTACATTCATGTTAAATGGCAATGTAAGAATATTACATTCATATTAAGTGGCAAAGCAGATTTTTTTTTTAAAGAGAGTATCCAAAAGTAAAAACAGTTATTTCACTGATTTGCAATTCCCATCTTTTTTTCAGGAATTACAAGCACATGTTGATCAGATAACAGAAATGGCAGCAGTAATGAGGAAAGCCATTGAAATTGATGAGCAACAGGGCTGCAAGGAACAGGAACGAATATTTCAACTTGAAGTAAGTTTTAAATTGTAAATTGGGTGAAAACTGTCCACATGAAGATTTATGCCAGAAAATACATCCCATTTAAATAAATATATACATCTCAGGAAAACTAGTAATGTTCTCTTTCTTAACCTGGACATTGGTTATATGGGTATATAATGCAAAACTATTTCAATAGTAATACAAGAGTCTAGGATCAGTATAACTTATAGCAGTATTTGAGCAAATTGACTTTTTTTGATCCTATGTGTTCCTGTTATTGGGTGTATATGCCTTTTAACTTAGTAATTTAAAAAATTTCTTTATTTCTATTGGAGATCATGGTGATGCAGGGAAAATTATTTTAATCTACAAATATTCTTTGGGCATTTGTATTCTTTGTGGAATATAAAAGCTTTTCTGTCTTTTATTGTGTGGTAGTGAAAGCATAAGTTATTGTTGAATAGTTCAAATCAGTAGACTTTTATACTTTAAAAGCTTCTTTTTGAAATGATGGTGGAGATACTGGTTATAGAGGGCCAAAAGTGATTTCAGTCTCTAAGCATAGTGTTCTCTCATTCTTTAAAACAGGGCTTAGCAAACTTTTTCAGTAAAGGACCAGACAGAAAATATTTTTTTGCAAACCAGACATTCTGTGTTCCTCAACTCTGTGCTACTCAACTCTGTCATTGTAACACAAAAGCAGCCATACACACAAAAAAATATTCAGTTTACCTATGTTCAGTGAAGTTTAATTTACAATAACAGGCCTGAAGCCAGGCTGTAGTTTGCTGATCCTTGCTTTATACCATTGAAACGTAGAAAGTAAGACTGAGAACAAAGTAGTTGTTAAATGTCTGCAAATTCTTACAGTAACTAATCTAGAAGAAAAAGAGTTGTTTATCAGTGCTCGATTTGCCCACCTATCCTTCTTGAAAAATCTCAGATCTATTCAACCAGCCCCAATGCTTTCAAATTCCAGTGAGGAAAACCAAACCTTTCCTGTATTCCATGCTAACATGGAAAGTAGTAAAGGTACTAACTAAATTCCTAGGAGGTTCTCATCATTGGCTTTGTTGTGTTTATATCGATATAAATCTAGATGTTACTTTTCCTCGTCTATACTGTGATTATAAAATGAGGCCGTTTCTGAGGTTCCATTTACAGTTACAGCTGCATAAATAAGGCGGCTTTGACCTGATGGAAAAGGAGCACAGTTCCTACCTCTTTAAAAAAGTGTTCTCTGGATTCAAGTTTTCAACTTTGTATATTCATTTAGTCTATTTCTGCTCTGCCAATTATAAAACTTTTTGTCATACCTTCTTACGTTTGGCTTAAGATAGGTTTGTATTTTTGTAGCTATCTTGGTGACTACATCTTTTTGTTTGCCTTCTTTTAGCAAGAAAACAAAGGCTTGAGAGAGATCCTGCAAATAACTCGAGAATCATTTCTGAACCTTAGGAAAGATGATGTGTCTGAAAGTTCATCTTTGTCAGCATTAGTGACCAATAGTGACCTGAGTCTGAGGAAGAGCTGAAGAGCCTGTAAGTCTGTGAGCTTCCTGCAAGGCTCCAAATGGTCACTGGGACTGGCCTGACATGAATGAACAGAAAAATCCATCTCAACCCTTTATTTTTTTTCTATAGTATGTACAGTGCACTGGCAATGACATTCTTACGCTGGCAAAAATGCAGAATTAATGGTTGTAGATTTTATTCCAAAATATAATAAAAAAATAGAAACTTTGTTAATTGGGGAACAGACTAAAGATTTTTTGAGTGACTGCTGAACCTAATAGCAGTACTGTTGCTATTCTGGCTGATACCTGGATAAACATGAATATTCCCAATAAATGTTTGGGAATTCATAACATTATCCAAATTTTAAAATATACATCTTGGCACAGTTTTGTGAATGGAAGACTGTCATATTAAATGTTATTTCTCCTCCCTGTTTGGTGTCAGAGTTAACAAATAGCTTATGTACTGTGAGATTTCAGCTTTAATGGTTGCCTGTCTACCTTCCCATTACTGTAAATTTTGGTCAAAGAAAATTCAGTTTGCAAGACTGTAGGAATGTTTCAAATGCACCATAAACAAAAGTTAATTTAATTTTAGCTGATTTGCCATAATTAAAATACTCCACTAACAATTATCCATAAGTTTAAGTATATGAAATATCATTTCAGGAATGAAAGAGAAAGAGTATTACTTTCTAAGAAAGATCTTATAAGAGACATATTAGTAGGTTAAACTACTCCTTTGAGATTTAAGTTTTGGTTCTAAATAATGAAGATGAGATTTTTCTCTTCTCTGGTTGATCTTTAAGGATATTAGGTAGTTCTTTTAGCTAACAGAGTTGCAATGTTTGATATAGCAAGCTAGGTATGGTAATGTCAAAGTAAATTGGGGATTCCTCTGCCTCATTGAACCCTTTTTTAAAAGTATTCTTAAGAAATACAGAAAGTAAATTAAAATTTCAAAATAAAATTTGTTTTCTGGTCCTCATAACCTGTAAGATTTTTCTTATACTCTGTCAGTCAAAGGGTGGGGGTGGGGGTGAGAGGAAATCTGTAGATTTATAAGTATTTGTTTTTTGTTTTTTGTTTTTTTTTTTTACAAAATCTATATCCAGTATGTAAATTTTTAAAAGCCACTAGAAAAAGAAATGTACTTTAACATCAATTGAAATCTAAATTTTTCTTATTTTATGATTATAGAAGGATAAAAATATCAAATATGATTAAATATACTAATTTATATTAAAATTAGCACAATAGAAAATTCTACTTTGGGGTATGTAATTTGTTAAAGAAATATTCACATGGTAGCTTTTGTGTATAATTTCATATATTGGTAAAATTCAAAGCTACTTTTCACTTTGGAATTTTTGTATATTAAGTTTGGAGTAAGTGGGGCTGATGTGGCTGATTGAAAAGGGCTAATGGCCCAAACACTGAATAGATTCCTTTTTTCAGAGGCCTTAATTGATATTTTATAAATGACAGTTTTTATTTTTAACCTTTTCTATTGGTTTGGGGTAAAGAATCTGTTAATTTGGTGGCACATTCATTCATACAGTTTTTATCCCAAGTCAGAATTAAAAAAAATACACAGTTGAGATGAAGTCTGAGGCAATTCATTGAGGCAGCTCTATTATAAAATGTTTCTTGATAACTATTTTTTTATAAACAAGTTAATTTATTCTTGGTCTTCTTACTTGGATATAATTTTAAGATCTTGGCGTTTAAAGACATTTACTTTGTTACATAGCAACAGTTTTCCATCCATATATTTTTTGTTTTTAAGCAGAACCTTAAATTTATGTCTGAGAGTGTATACTGCATAGGAGCCTATTTTATCAATAAAGATGAGTGGTTGAAATTGATATTGTCTCCAAGTTAATGTGAGAACAATGCTTAAATACAGTTTATCTTTCTGGCATTTCATCTCTTACCACAAAACTAGTACTTAGCAACAACTTCTATCTGTATTTCTTAGGAATTGGCCAGCAACTTATTGCTGATCCAGCAAACCTTTTTATAATCATATGTGGTGGATTTAAGAGTGTCCCTGCTGCAGGGGCACCTGGGTGGCTCAGCATCCAACTCTTGATATGGGCTCAGGTCATGGTCTCACAGTCAAGAGAATTGAGCCTCGAGTCAGGCTCCACACTGGGCATCGAGCCTGCTTGGGATTCTCTCCCCCTCTCTATGCCCCTCCCTGTCAAAAATCAGTATTAAAATTTTTTTTTACAAAGTGACCCTGCAAAGGCACGTCCAAGTGCTAACCTCCTGTACCTGTGAATGTGGCATATGTATATATATATATATATATATATATATATATATATATATATATCTTTTCAAAGTTTATTTTTGAGAGAGAAGTGGGGGAGGTAGGGGCAGATAGAGAAGGAGAGAGAGAATTCCAAGCAGGCTCTGCACTGTCAGCATAGAGCCCAATGCGGGGCTCAAACTCACAAACTGAGCTGAAGTGAGATACTTAACTAAGCCACCCAGGCACCCCAACCATATATGTTTTTTAAGTTTATTGGAGAGAAAGAGGGAGAGTGCATGTGCCTGTGAGGCAGGGAGGGGCAGAGAGACAGGGAGAGATAATCTTAAGCAGACTCCAGGCTGCCAGGGCAGAGCCCGACATGGGGCTCAAACTCACGAACCATGAAATCATGACCTGAGCCGAAATCAAGAGTCAGAGACTTAACGGACTGAGCCACCCAGGTGTCCCATACTGACCACATTTTTAATAGTTTTTGCAGATTTAAGGATCTTGGAATTAGATCATCTTGAATTTAGGATGGGCCCTATATCCAGTGACCAGTGTCCTTATAAGAGAGAAGGATATTTGAAACAGGCATAAGGAGAAAGCCATGTGAAGACAGAGGCAGAGAGTTATGCAAGCTGCAGAGCCCTAAGGTGCCAACAGAAGCTAGGAGAGGGGTATGAATTGAATCATCCCTCAGAGCCTCCAGAAAGGGCCAGCCCTGCTTGACATTAGACTTCTGGCCTTCCTGATTTTTCAGAACTGTGAGAGAATAAATTTCTGCTAAGCCACCCTACCTGTAGTAATTTGTTACAGCAGCCCTAGAAAACAATGATCTATTTATCATCTATCCACTACATGCTTTTTTATAGTGGAAATACAATTCTAAAAAACCAGTTCTACGCAACCTCACAGAGTGTTTTCTGCTCATATTGGTATTCTTTAATATCAAGGTGACTTCCAAAATTTTCTGTTTCTAAACTGCCTCAATGACCGGAAGATCACAGATCCAGAACTCAATTTTTAGTGATCACTACCTTTTTTGACAGAGTAAAATAGGAGTTCATTTTTTAGTGAAATATCAATGAAGAATAATCTCTAATTGAAATTTGAAGGGGCTTTCTTTTTACATCAGTGGCTGCCTCTCAGCCTCCTCTGTCCCTTTCTTCTGACTTTAAACCCCAGGGCTCAGTCCTTATTCCTGCTCACTTCCTTGGTGATCTCACCCAGTCTCATGACTTTAAATACCACCTGTAATGCTGATGACTCCCAAATTTACAGCTCTCATGAACTCTGGACTCTTCCAACTGTAACTATCAAAGATCTCAGACTTAACATGCTCCAAGCAGTCTTCCCCCCAGGCCTCTCCATATGCTTCCCTACCTGAGATGGTGACAACTCCATCTTTTCAGCTGCCAAGGCCAAAAACCTTCCTGGCATCTTTGACTCCACTTTTTCTATCTTGCATCCAATTCATCAGCAAATCCTATTGGCCCCCTTCCCTTCTAAATATATCAGAATCCTACCATCTCTCACCATCTCTACTGCTTCCCCTGGTTAAAGCCACATTATGATAGTGTTAGAGTGAGCAAATTAAACCTAAGTATCATACAATAAGGAAATAATTTACTTCCAGATTACTAATTTACTATCAATATCTACCCAAAGCAGTTTATATATACTGTGGCTTAAAGATTCTAGCAACAGGAACAAAAAAATAACTAAATTTACATAATAAAAACCTGAATGCTATACTGCAGATGTAATTACAACCATGTAAAAACTGCATAGCGGGTGGGGTGCCTGGGTGGCTCAGTCGGTTAAGCATCCAACTTCGGTTCAGGTCATGATCTCGCAGTTCTTTTTTTTTTATTTTTTATTTTTTTATTTTTTTTAAATTTTTTTTTTTTCAACGTTTATTTATTTTTGGGACACAGAGAGACAGAGCATGAACGGGGGAGGGGCAGAGAGAAAGGGAGACACAGAATCGGAAACAGGCTCCAGGCTCTGAGCCATCAGCCCAGAGCCTGACACGGGGCTCGAACTCACGGACCGCGAGATCGTGACCTGGCTGAAGTCGGACGCTTAACCGACTGCGCCACCCAGGCGCCCCATGATCTCGCAGTTCTTGAGTTTGAGCCCTGCATCGGGCTCTGTGCTAAGAGCTCAGAGCCTGGAGCCTACTTCGGATTCTATGTCTCCTCTCTCTGCCCCTCTCTTGCTCGTGCCCTCTCACAAAAAGTAAACATTAAAAAAATAAATAAAATGCATAGGGGGAAATGTCCAGAAGCAAGTAACATCAGTATACTTCCAACTAACTCTGTTTTACATACACTAGCCAGTTAGTTTTCTGTTGCCTGCAAACCAGTTTTTTTGTGACTATCTTTGTGTAGATGTATCATAATTTATTCAACTCTTTCTTCTGATGGATATTCAGACTGTTTGAAATTTCTGTTAAAACAATGCACCCAGGGCGCTTGGGTGGCTCAGTCGGTATAGCATCCAACTTTGGCTAAGGTCATGATCTCATGGTCTGTGGGTTCGAGCCCCAAGACAGGCTCTGTGCTGACAGCTCGGAGCCTGGAGCCTGCTTCGGATTCTGTGTCTCCCTCTCTCTCTGTCCCTCCCCCATTTGTGCTCTCTCTCTCTCTCTCTCTCTCTCTCAAAAAAAAAAAAAAAAAAAAAAAATGCGTCATTAACTCGTGCATAATTTATGTACTGTGATTTCAGTACATAATTCTCAGAAGTTGGTTAGGTTATGTTCCTTTTTGAGATCTTTCACATAAAAGAAAAAATAAATGTAGACAGTTAAAAATCTACCATACAGAAAATATTACAGTTTAAAGTAAGTCAACTTCTTCCTACAACGTGTGTCTTCCCAGGGGTAATTAGAAGTTTCTTCTGAATCAGAAAAACTTCCCTATAAATGTTTTTAAACATATTTACACACAAATACACATAATTGGAATCTTACACCTTGGTTCCTCAATTTTTTTTCATTTAATGCTGTCCCTCACAAGTTTTTTTTCCCATATGAGCAAAAGGAAAAGAGTAAACCCACTGCTTTGGAAAAACTAAAGCCTGCAGAAAATTCACTACACTGAAATCAGTATCAGTAGGTAGAACTGGACCCGGAATAAAAATATCCTGATCTTGAAACACAGGATATATACTTCTTGAGTATCAGATACTGCTAGGAAGGCTACATTTGGGCTTTCTATAAAACTAACAAAGCTGGGGCACCTGGGTGGCTCAGTCGGTTAAGCGGCCAACTTCGGATCAGGTCGTGATCTCGCAGTCCGTGAGTTCGAGCCCCGCGTCAGGCTCTGTGCTGACAGCTCAGAGCCTGGAGCCTGTTTCAGATTCTGTGTCTCCCTCTCTCTCTGACCCTTCCCTGTTCATGCTCTGTCTCTGTTTCAAAAATAAATAAACGTTAAAAAAAAAATAAAATAAAATAAAAGTAACAAAGCTGGTTAGAATCAGTGTTTCTGCAATAACCCCAAGCCTCAGCACACTGCTTTTGTCTGTATATACATTTCAAGATGAATAGGGCTGGCCCTTGGCTACTTTAAAATGCCAAGGATTTAGGGGCGCCTGGGTGGTGCAGTCGGTTAAGCGTCCGACTTCAGCCAGGTCACAATCTCGCGGTCCGTGAGTTCGAGCCCCGTGTCGGGCTCTGGGCTGATGGCTCAGAGCCTGGAGCCTGTTTCCGATTCTGTGTCTCCCTCTCTCTCTCTGCCCCTCCCCTGTTCATGCTCTGTCTCTCTCTGTCCCAAAAAAAAAATAAACAAACGTTGAAAAAAATAATAAATAAAAAATAAAATGCCAAGGATTTATCAGCTGCATCTCCAATTTCAGCACCACTCAGTGGGCAAGTGCACAGTGCTATCAAATCAAAGGCTGATGTGAGATCAAGTGAATGCATTCCTCAAATGTGAACTTCTTCTAGAATATGTTTAAGACCTATCTCTGAAATTTAAATAAAAATTTGAAGGGCAAAAAAAGACCTATCTCAAAGATTATAAGGTTTTTATTCCCAGTCATGTAGACTCTAGACATACAGAATACAAGAGGTTAACAACATTCAGTGGAAAATCACTGGGATATACAATTGAAGTAATTCAGGAGGGAGAGCTCATCTGAAAGAAGAGTAGCTCTACTTGTGAAATGGAAGACTGTCCTATGTTGAAAAACCTTCAGGCATTAATAGGATGAGAGACTTTTTTCAGAAAAAAGCCTTTAATCCTGTCCATGAAAACAGTCCTCTAGAACCCCAGGCCCAGCCCTAGCAATACAATGTATTTCAGTTCTCAGGAATTTTGATATATGGATGGTCTCTCCAAAGGAGACAGCTAGTTTAAAAAACATGTTGAGGTCCAGTTCAATTGCCGAAAACACAGCCCATGGAGAACTGGGGAGCAAAGGCACACTTAATGTGTCTCAATTGCTTCTTCCATCTGCATCATTTTTGGATCTTCTATCTCCTTCCTTAAAGCTCCCAGACACGCATCCATGCTTTTCCCAGTGCGCCCACCACAAGTTCAGGCAGGGCAGAGCACGTACAAGCCACTCTGGACAGTAGAAAATCTATTAGCAGAAGGAGCCGTGAACCTCAGGTGAATAAGCCGTTTAGCCCTTAAAAACTTCAAAGTAAAAAAGTAATTGTGGCCATTCTTCAATCTCCTTCCAAAAGAAGGAATTCACCCTTGGGGAGCAATGGAGTCAGGTATATTATACTTGTATACAGGTACGTTAATAAGACTCTGGAACAGAAGGAAAGATTTTGAGGACTATGGCTTTTGTGGGTCACCCAAGTGTTCTGACCCACCTGCCAGGGAACAATTGCTAAATTCTAGGGTCTTGGAAGGAAATAAGAAAGGTAAATAAAAAGACAAAGTATGCTCTGGGCAGTTTTGTAGTATAGTCCAAATTTAACGAGGAAGATGGAGAATGAAAACAACTACCATATGATCCAATAATCCCACTCCTGGGTATATATCCAAAGGAAATGAAAAGCAGGATCTTGAAAGAATGTAACTCCCATGCTTATTGCAGCATTATTCACAACAGCCAAGACAGGGAAACATCCTAAGTGGCCATCAACGGATGAATGGATAAAGATGTGGCTTATATATACAATTGAATATTATTCGGTGGTAAAAAAAGAGAAAGAAATCCTGCCATGTGCAACAACAAGGATAGACTTGGAGGACATTATACCAAGTGAGGGAAGTCAGAGAATGACAAACACTAGATGATAACACTTATATGTGAAATCCAAAAAAGCCAAATTCCTAGTAACAGGATGGTGGATACCAGCAGGTGGGCATGGGAGAACTGGAGAAATGTTATTTAAGGAAATTAGTAGACAAATTCTGGAGCCCAAGTGCACTAGGGATTATAGTCGTCAAAACTGTATTATGAACTTCAAGGTTGCCAAGAGACTAGATTTTAATTGCTTTCACAAAAAGAATAATTATGTGACACGATAGAGATGCAAACTAACTCTATGATATTAATCATAGGGTAATCATATTGTAGGAATAATCATAGAGTAATATTTAATAAATGTATCAAATCAACATACTGTACCTTAAACTTACACATTATGTCAATTATATCTGAATTAAAAAAAAAAACCAACACTGGGGCACCTGGGTGGCTCAGTGGGTTAAGTGTCTGACTTGGGCTCATCTCACAGTTCATGAATTTGAGCCCCGCGTTGGGCTCTGTGCTGACAGCTCAGAGCCTGGAACCTGCTTCAGATTCTGTGTCTCCCTCTCTCTCTGCTCCTCCCCTGCTCATGCTCTGTCTCTGTCTCTCAAAAATAAACAAACATTAAAAAAAATTTAAAACAACAACAACAACAACAACACTGACAACCTCCTTCCTGGATCAAAATGCCAAACAAAAGCTGAGAATGGGAGAGCTGACCCCACCAAGCACTCACCTCACCAAGCACCAATGTGAAGGGCTGTAAGGACTGGCTGGGCATACAGGTGGGAGAGACTCCACTGGAGGCTCTCCGTAGAGAAGAGAAGGCCTTGAAGCTTTTCTCTATGCCTTTAACCACAGTACATGGAATGCACTCTGCCTCCTTGTGGTTTTGTTACTCCTACTCATCCTCCAAGTCTCAGCTTAAATGTCATTTCAAGGAATTCTTCCCTGGCATCCCGATTCTACCCCCTACTCCATCAAAAATTTCACTGCCTACCATACCTCCTCTGTATAACTATCGAAGTATATCTGTCTCCTCCCACTCTAAGCCCTGAGATAGGCACCATGCCAGAATATTTTGCCATCTTCTTCCTAGTGCCCAAGGCAAGGCCTGACATTTAGGAATTTAACTCCTATTTATTTAATGAGTAAAGGGTGAGAGCCAAGTAAAAACGACTATCATTGTACATATTTTCTTGATTTTGCCTATTAATACTGATGTAGCTTGATCCAGACCTGCCAACCTCCCATGTAATGACTATATGGTAGTCCCTGGGTAAGCCCAAATTTCCACTAACTTGAGCCCCTCTGTATCTCAGTTTCATAGAATGGTCCTCACAAACACGGTGGCCAAACTGCCCAGAGGTCTTCCAATCAACATTCAGGGTGAAATGATTTATAAAGGGTATTAGTTTGCTAGGGCTGCCATAACATATCACGGACTGGGTGCCATAAACAACAGAAATTTATTTTCTCACCATTCTGGAGGCTGGAAGTCCAAGTTCAAGGTTGGGTTCCACTGAGGCCTTTTTCCTCTTCTTGCAGAAGGCTGCCTTCTCACTGTGTTGTCACCAATCCACCAGCAGAAGAGAGCTGAAAATAATTAGTGACTTACATTTTCATCATGATAGAGCATAAAGCACATTTGTATAGGGAATCAGGTATCCCAAATTTTGATCTGGGCACAGTTATTGATAAATATCCATATAATTGACTCCTTGGTCAAGAATTTACTCAGTTATAAAATAAGGGACCAAGTAAGATGATCTCTAAGGTCTGTTTCTGGTCTAACAGTATAGCAATTTCCTTGGAAGAATCAGTTTTCTATCCCAACCTTCTATAGATCTACTGATCCATGGCACGAGTTACCTGCTGTGATTTAGCAACCTGGTAGCTAACCTCTAACAGACTGGTCAGAACCAAAACATTTAAGGAATAGTATAACTAATTTTCTGGTAATACTACTACCTTTCTTCAGTTACACAAACCTGAAGTGCTAATAACCAACACAAATCAGCCCACCAAAGACGTCAGCTTTCCTTCTAACAAGGGATATAAATTTAACACACTGCCACAGATTTCCTTCATTTCCTACTATTTCGCTTAGGCTTAAACCAAATTTTTTAAATAAAGATTTAATTCTCCAGATTAAGTAATTTTATACCAATGACACTTCTGTCATGTCTTCACTGCTACGGTACAAATACAGTTGGTGAGAAAAAAAAAATCTGTTAAGAATAATGAGACTTTTTAGCATTTTTCTTCAAAATAGGTATTTATTATTTAAAAAAATGATACAAACTGGCATTTTATGACTCACAAATTATGAAAATTTTTTAAGTAATTTGTCTCAATCCTCCAAAAAACTGTGCTCTATCTTTACAGTGTTCAGTGGCAGTACATTTTGACGGTACAGAAAATAACTCCCAAACATTCCATATAACTTGTCAGAATGTACAAAGATATGGCAGAAGCCACAATCCCTACAGTAATTAAAAAAAAAAATTCAAGTGTTACTGAAGTTATATAAACAGTGAGGGTTACATAATAGTAAACACCTGTGTGTAATTCTGCAATGCAAAAATGTTTAGTTTTGTATGGTTTCGCTTTCTGTATGTTTAGTTTTATGTTTCAGCCTTTCCAAAACAAATGCAAAAGCTGAAAATTTTCCAGTTACCTAAAACTCCAAAAATCTATCGTGCTGTGAAAAAACTCTTAAAAGCAGCATCGTTTAAATAGTGGTTAACTCACAAATGCGTATGCAACCACCACAACTACCCTCACCGTTACTCACTGTGTCAGAGTCACCAGCTTCCGATCCAAGGCAGAACCAGATGCCGTGAGGAGTGGGTACGCAGCCCAGGGCATCGAGGTGCTTGCTTGGGGCGGGGGGAGGGTCAAAATGGAAGGAACTTTCCTTACAGAGTCCAAGAACCTGATTAAAAGTAGCTCCTTTAAAGTCTTTAATCCTTTTTGACCCCCTCCCTCCTCATCACTAAAATATAGATGGTACAAAGTCTTCACACAAAAGAGAAAATTTTTGACACTATTTTTACATCGATGCTAATAACAACCAATTTAGCAGAAACAACTAAAAAATGCAAATGTTAAAAGGTTTCCTTACTAAAGGGACTACAGATTAAGGTAGGCGCCAATCGGTTTCCTTAAAAAAAAAAATTCAAACACATTTTAGAGATCAGAGGTCAACACTATTTTAAAAGGCCTTTAAAGAAAAAACCCGAGGCCGTTATATCCATATCTGATCTATGTAAATCACCCTATTTTCAAATAACGGACATAATTTAGTATTTAAATTAGCATTGTAAGCAATAAAGGACAAAAACAAAGTGCCTACTGAACTTATATACTTTATGACTGAGATGGTAAATGTGTGTTTTACCACAATTAAACAAAAGAAGGGTACCTTTTGATAACACATCAATAAGGACACCGTGAAACTGTGCAAAGCACACATACATACACCTCTTCTTATCAGAGTTGCACCGGAGACTGCTGCAGCAGGCTGGGCATACACACCAAAGCTGAGGCAACGCCTGGGCAGTACTTTGAGACCACACTGACCAACCCCCTTTGGCATCTACAGAAGCAGGGGTGTTCTCTCTCCGGCTGGCTGTTCCTTCTGGAAGAGCTCTTTGATCTGGGCTATTCGGCCATAGAGCCTCTCTCTCAATGGAGGGATGTGGTAGCTAGGGTCCAGGATGTTTGTTACTCTGCGCTCTCTCTCTCGCTTCCATAACTTGTATGGGTGGGGAGGAAAAAATGGTTGCCCTCTTTCTCTTCGAATCTGTAACGTGATTCCACTCACAGCAAGCATCCCCCATACTGCCAGGATAATAAAGTCTAAAAAAACAACAGAAAAGCAGTTTGAACTCTTGTCTCTTAAATACCTAACACGGCTCTTAACATTTAACTTCTCATAGTTTAAATCTGTGTCATTCTTTCTCAGTACAATTACGACTTTTCGGTGAGTTTGACCAAACGTGTATCTCCTCATTTACAAACCAAGGAATAAATAAGGAAGCTGCGGTTTTACATTTTAAAATAGGAATTTCCTATGATGGCATTTGAAAGTCCAGACAGGCTGTAAAGGAATCAGTTGTTTGGATCCTTGGAACTCCAACATTTTATGACCAATGCCCACAGGCATAGTTGTTTGCTGTGTTTTTCCGCAGGTGGGGTGGGGAGAAGGCAGTCATCAAGATACACCTCACAAACATACACCATGGAACAGGAGATGCCACCTTGCCCTCTTTTTTCCCATTCCACTCAATATTGGGCCCCACTACACTCATAGGGTGGATTTAGAAATGCATGGAGAGAGTCAACACACCGTAACTGAGCTTCCAGTACAAGGCTTGGCAAAATATCGTCTTGTATGTAAAATTTCCAAGACAACATGGATTTTGAGGTCTCTAAACATCAACCTCCTATCTAATGAGGGCGGCTCAGCATAATAGAGGTAAAGATATTGCAGTCATGATTGTGCTTCAATATTTTCCAACTCTAAGATATGCTTTTCCATCTTCCATATTTTCACATTTCTGAAACCAATATATCTTAACACTCACACTGAATACTTAATTTGGTCATTTTCTCTTCCTCAAAAAGTTAATGGAAAACCTCTAACAGATAGAATCTTACAACTGTGGAAATGGTAACACTTCTAGACTGAAAATCACTTTTTCACTTTCAATTAGCAAATGACATGCTTCTTTAAAGGAGGGAAACAAGGGAATAACTTTAAAAATCAGGCTGTCGTTCTCATCCCTCATCCCACCCCAATCTGTAAGGTGCCAAACAATTTTGTTCTCAGAATTTTTCTCCCAACTGGGAATCTGAACAGGTAACCATCCTGGTTGGGAAATTTCTTAACAAAATTCACTCAGTAGATTTTCAGAAGTGTGAACTTCCACCACTTACAAATTTAAATTATTTGCTCCTGTGGATCATAAGTTATCATTAACGGAAGGCTCTAATAGCATTTGTAGGGCGTGGGTTTCCTCCTTTTGTCTAGTTAGCCTTCTTTCAATTGAGTTACCAAGTGCCCTTGTTGGCACAGGCAGGCCAATATTCTTATCTGTCACTCCAGTTCTTGGATTTAGTCTTACCATTAGTTTGAAAAGGCACATTTGTGAAAGCTCTGTGGAAATCCATGTTGAGTGCTCTCTTGAGTACATTCAGAGTGATATGAGAAAGGCTTGTGTACAAGTAACTGTCAAAGGCCAAGACCACCGAGTAGGAGCCAATGAGTCCACAAGTCAGTATGTTCAGCTGTGGAAGAGTGCAAGAGTTTAGGCATGGCCACTGGTAGAACAAGAAATTGTTTCTATGCCTCATTACTGGCCTCAATCACAGAGAATCACTTCTCCCTCAGGGCCCATGAAACGGGATCAAGTCTCAGAGCTGAATAAAGGCTACCTGGCAGGTTAAACTGAAAACCACCTTCGAAACCCATAGTGAGTTCTCAAAATAGAACCTGATAGAAAATGTCTTCCCTGTGAAAGAACCTCAGCAACAAAGTCTAATTACACAAAGAATGCTTCTTTGGAGAGACCGCTGAAACTAAGCACTCACCAGGTTGTGAATTATAGTGAGCCCAACCTCTCTGCTCCCAATTGTCCAAAGCATATGGACGGTGGTGACCTGCCTACTCCACTTGATGAAAAACACTCTGTGATCATTATAATCAGAACTTCTCCCACTTTCACAGGAACAAGGCTATTTAAAACTAATCATCTCATGAAGATTGTCCTACAGCTCTCCCCAGTAAATATAACATGCAAAATGATGCAACACGTGAACAAGTGAAGGCCCGGGACAATATAGTGAATGAATCTCATTGATGAAACACTCACTATTCTTAAGCAGCCCATGAAAACTACTGGAATGAGGACAGCTATGCAGGAGAAGGTCACCCAGAACACACCATCATCATGAAAAATCTTTAGGTTCCCTGAAAAAGCAAGAAGAAATCAAGAGTTAACAACAGGTTTACCAAGTTCAATTTCATCTTCTCAACATCTGAACACAGACACACATGATGGAAAGTTTATTGTTAACAACCAAGGCATAGGCTGGCATTTAGAAATGAATTCTGACTTTTTTGGTTTAATGGCCAATACAATCCCCTTTGAAGGATGTGTCTTAGAAGGTCAAGGGGTGGGATCAAGCAGGTAAATGCTCTGCATTTACTCCCAGGGAAATGCAAAAGAGGCTGGACCAGTCTAAACTCTTCCATTCACTAGCTGTGATGCTGGGCCTCACATTCCTAACCCATAAGATAAGAAAATTGAACTATTTTGTAGTTCAAACCATCCTCTCTTGCTCTATGCTTCTATCATTCTGTGATTTTGTACTGCAAAGTAAAAAGTGCAAGTAAATGGCATTCAGAGATAACTGTATGAAATCCCACCCAAAATGAACAGCAAGATCCTTTTACTAGATTTTTACCATCAATGCCTTTCCTGTCCAGGAAAGACAGGAGCTAACCACTGACCGCACTCCTACTGAACCCTTCTCCAACATGCAGCACACCGGGGGTGACCCAGGAAGAATATATTAGAACTCCTATTTATAAATTAAGTTTAGAAGCGAGGGTATAAGCTGGACAATTATTTGATACTGATACTGACACCATCATTCAGCCCAACTGGAAGTGGCCCTGTATCTTAAGACCCATAAATCCCAGAAGAGGGGGAGTTCCATAGTAAGATCGGATCTTGGGACCACACATTCTGAGAAAGCGAACTGCAACGTGCTGCAGTGAGGTGGATTTATGGGTCATATTCTGTAGTTTAACTCTATTAACCTTCACAAAATACACACGCAGCTTAAAAAAAAAAAAAAAGTCAAGGAATCCAGGGATTGAAAACAGTAGTCGCGATGCCAGCGTGTGAAGACTGACCCTTTCAGAGTATAAGCTCTTTGCTGGCTACATAATAAGGTGAAAACAGTAGCAATTTAATTAGACCTGAGAAGTTAGCCACCAACTAAAATTTTAATGCCTAAAAATTTTTTAATTTTAATGCTTAGAAATGTTTAAAATTTTAATGCTTAAAAATAGGACTTTGCATCCACCGGAGACACTGATCCTAACTGTCCTTCAGCAATGAGTTCATAAACAAACACATTAACCAGTCATCCCTCCAACCATTAACCAATTAAAAATTTAAAAATTCTAACCAATCATCCCTCCAACCATTAACAAAACAAGGGAAGGGAGCTTATTAAGTAGTTGATTTAGTGCTTTTAGAATAGGGCCCTGAATATGCATTTTCAACAAACCTCCCTGTGTATCTGTCCTTTAGGCAAATCTAAACATTGCTACTGAGCATCAGACTATCTAGTTTTTATATATAAAGGTATCTAGTTTTTTATATATATTGCTACCTGCAAGGGGGCCTGTGGGAATGAACTCATAGGTTTGCTAAAATCAGAACAAAGGGACTTGGAATAGTCAGTAAACACACAGGTTGTCAATTCTTTCTGGTCTTGGGGGAAAAAAGTCTTCAGAGAGCCAACCACACTCTGTCATATCATGCATTCTTAAGAGGTGACAGCCTCTTATATTCTTATATCTAACATTTCCATCAACTTTAATCTGAGGTTGATATACGTAAGATATACACAAGAACTAAATTAACTTTAAGCTGAGGTTGATATATATAAGAACATTATCACAAGAAGGAAATAGCCTAAAAGAGTACCTTAAAATATAAATACTCCTTTTTTTTTCTGCATTTTTGACAACAATCAGGAAATGTAAGTTATTATGCAACCACAAAGGGCAGTAGAATGTGCCACTCAGGCATGTGGATTATTTTGAGCTGAAGGCACTCAAGACCCAGCAGAGTCAGGAAAAACTTTTATTGCTTCCTTAACTGCCTAAAAGAATGTAAATAGGGATCCTGGCCCAGGGAGAGAACAATGAACAGAGATAACTATTTTCTCTGAAAGACTTAACTGCCTAGCAGGGCAAACATCTGATTACCAAATGTCTGCTCTTCTTATCTTCTTGTCCTCTTGCTGAATTGCACCTCCAACCCCCACCATGTGAAACCCTGCACGCTTACCCCGTTTCTTAGCTCCATATGACACAGAGGTCTGAAACTGCCTGCCTTTGGGTCTCATATTTTTCTAGGTCTCCTGTATATACAAAATTAAATTTGTTTTTCTCTTATTAACCTATCTTATGTCAATTTAATTATTTTACCAGCCAAAGAACCTTAGAAGGATAAAAAGGAAATTTTTCCTCCCCTACAAAAGAAAGTTAACTTAGAAAAGTTAACCACATTCTAAAAATTGACAGAAACTGAATTACTTAAAGAAAAAAAAAAATCTCCGACACCATCCCTGTGCTACTGACCTAGAGGACAAGTAGGTACATTAGAATATCTGGGGTTTAGCAGACAGTGGAAATGAAAACCAGGAACAAAGCACCAGGTTCCCAACTCAGCTCCAACAGAGCCATGCCCAGTTCATCTGTGGGATAAACGGAGCTTCTGCTGAAGATTCACCGTGTACTGGTACTCCCTAGAGTGCCACATCACAGATACAAATTTCCAGAACTCAGGGTGCCTGGGTGGCTGAGTCGCTTAAGCGTCCGACTTCAGCTTAGGTCATGATCTCATGGTTCTTGAGTTCAAGCCCCACATCGGGCTCTGTGCGGACAGCTCAGACCCTGGAGCCTGCTTCGGATTCTGTGTCTCCCTCTCTCTCTCTGCACCTCCCCTGCTCATGCTCAGTCTCTTTCTCAAAAATAAAAACATTAAAACAAAACAAATTTCCAGAGCTCTACAGGTAAGGCCCCAAGTCCCTGAGAGGCAGTAGTTATACCTAGAGAGCCCAAATAAAGGTCTTTCAAACAAAAAACTGAACACACAAAACATTACATATCTCCTACCCAGGAAAGCGAAGAACATCACTGAGGAGACGAGGAAGCCCAACACTAATCCAACACACAGCATGCAGAGCAGGAGGATTCCAAATCTCCACCAAGCAGCTACCAAGAAAATCCCACCAACGCTTCCAGCGACGGCTGTCAGAATCAGACGAACTGCACAGAAGAAGATGAACTGTTTGACCAGAGGCGGCTTTTCCTACCACATGCTTCAAATACACAACACCATCACCAGAGCCAACCTTAGCCTTTCTGTAGGCCAGGTACTGAGGGGGTGACATGACACCAGCATGGCGGTGGGGGGGGGGGGGGGGGCGGGGGGTTGTTGTTGTCCAGGGAAGGGGCTAGTCTGAGCCATGGGAACCAGCAGGTGAACTATACCTCCCAGGACACGTGACAGGTGTGGCTTGGCACAATCTATAAACAGGGGCTAAGGAAGAACGAGGGACAAGCATTCTGTTCAATGAGACATGGCCGGGTTTTGTTTTAAGGTAAAGAAAATCTTAACCCATTATTGGGTTATATATCTTGGCCCATTATTTACACACATAATAGCACACACAATACTGGTCAAACTACACAAAGAAAGGGGGAGTGTGAACACAACACCTTTCCAATGAAACTGTATTATTTTCACTTACCATCATATTTAATAAGTGTCAGTCTTGTAATCAGTATGTAGAAGAAGAATCCCATGAAGATAAAGCCTATGAAAAACAATTCTAGTAGCAAACCACCAGGAAAAAAAAAAAATACAAGCTATGGTTACGTATTTTTTTTTACAGTGCAATTTAAATTTCTAACCTACAAATATATGCTTCAGCTCCCAGAATTTACACATATTAGGACATTTAGAGGAAAGAAACAATTACCTGAAAGACAAGAAAAATTTAGAAATCATATTAAAATGAATGCGATATTAAAGTACTAACTATTGGATACGCTCTTGCATAGAGGTCAGTTTCAGCTGGTAAGTTGTTAACTGTTAATTTCATAGCTGACTCTAACATCCTCATACTTCCCACTGAAAACAAGAAGAGTATACTTTTGTCATTGTATCTGATCTGAATCTCATCACACTCAATTTGTTACATGAGCAAAAATAAAAAGATAAAGCAAAATAACAAACTCTTCTAAAGCAAAAAGTGACCTTTATACCTTCCTTTAATTCATCCTTTTTTGTCCAGGATGAATAATTAATCACTGTCTTCACCCACTAAAATACCTAGTAATATATTTGGGGCTTAAAAATTAAATTCTTTGTTACAGAAGCATTCTATACTTTGAGGAATGAAACATTCTTCACAATATTTTCTTCTCAATCAAGAAAAAAATATAGTAATTGATAAGGAAATGCACATTTTAATTCGTAGTTTATTAAAGCAAGTTTAAAGAGTTTGAGATCAGGATTATTTTCACTCTTCCCTTGATGCTCCAGTATACTCCTTGTTAATGAATTAAATTAGGATTTTTTTTTAGTAATTAAAAACATTGTTACATAAAAGGCAGCCCAAAAATTCAAATCAATTCAGCGAGCATAACGTATACAGTCATTCCCCCCTTATCCGTGGATACTCTTTTCACGGCTTCAGTTAGTTACCCCGTGGTCCGGAAACAGATGATCCTCCTCCTGAGGTTCGTCAAAAGGTCAACAGTAGCCTAAAGCTCACTGTGTGCCAATTCCTACCTACATCATACAACTGACATCATCTCATCATACAGGCATTTTATCATCTCACATCAGCACAAGAAGGTGAGTGCAGGACAAGAAGATATTTTGAGAGAGGGGGACCACACTGACATAACTTTTATTACAGCATATTGCCATAATTATTCTATTGCATTGCTGTTGTTAATTTCTTACTGTGCCCGATTTATAAATTAACCTTTATCATAGGTATGTATTACAGGAAGAAACATAGTATATATAGGGTCCAAGTACTGTCAGTAGTTTCAGGCATCCACTAGGGGTCTTGGAAAGTATGCCCCACGGATGGGGGAAGGGGAGGAACTATGGTATTTCACTCCCTGAATGGTTTTCACCGAGAAGATTGTGGGAGTTCCTGTTTGCAGTCTCAACCTCCTAGGACTCAGCAGACATTTCAATCTACATATAATATACCACAGACCTGCAGCATGATTTATAGGAAACATCGTCAACCACCAATACCAAAATCCACATATTCTTACACAGATATCCTGATTTCCAACCAGTTATTTTTAGTTGGCTATCTGACCTAGCTAGCAATTGAAGAAGTTTGCTGCGCAAATCCAGTCTTGTTTCCCTAAGAAGAGGAAGTTACACTCCATCATTAAGAGAAAAAATTAAAAAGCACAGCAACTAAGTAAACTCTTTACTGAAAGAACCCCAGTCACAAATCTATGAAGACAGTTGGAGATAAGCAGTTACTTAATCTACTTAGAGGTCATAAATCTCCTAGCAGAATTTAAGCAAAAAAGACCACAACGCCTGAAAATAGCAACTATAGCAAAATACCTGTTTTCCAGAATCTGTGTCCAAAGAAACAAATGAAGAGACCAAGCAGGGCAAAAAGGGTGAAGAACACTTTGGTTGACACTCTTCCTAAAAGAAACAAAAATTTAGTGGATAATAGATCCAGTTTGATCCTGGTATTAGAACAAAGCATCACGAAAAAAGCAAAGTTAACTGACAATAATTTATTTCACAAATATATATATTATAAACTTACTTTAAAAATACCCTTGCCAGCCCTAACCAATTATTTTATGTGGGCAATGAAGACCAATGCTACTGCTATAACCAAAAGAGGAACCAGACAATACATGCTTCCTGACGAGGTATGTAGCTCTATTGTGACATATTCTTGGGCTCTTGTGTGTGAGCGCGCACGCACGCAACTAATAGTTCTGTTTCTTCACAAACTACAAGAAAAAAGGAGGGCAACAAGGGGGAGAACTAGGGATAAAAAGAGATTTAAAAGACACTTCAAGGGGCGCCTGGGTGGCTCAGTCAGGTAAGCGTCCGACTCAGGCTCAGGTCATGATCTCACTGTTCCTGAGTTCGAGCTCTGCGTTGGACTCTGTGCTGACAGCTGAGCCTGGAGCCTGCTTTGGATTCTGTGTCTCCCTCTCTCTCTCTCTCTGCCCCTCCCCGCTAGCACTCTTGCTCTCAAAAATAAACATTAAAAAAAAGGTTTTTTTAGGGGCGCCTGGGTGGCTCAGTCAGTTGGGCGTCCGACTTCGGCTCAGGTCATGATCTTGCGGTTTGGGGTTCGAGCCCCGCATCAGGCTCTGTGCTGACGGCTCAGAGCCTGGGGAGCCTGCTTAGGATTCTGTGTCTCCTTCTCTCTCAGCCCCTCCCCAACTTGTGCTCTGTCTCTCAAAAATAAATAAATGTAAAATAAAATAAAATAAAAAATTTTTAAGACACATCAACTAAATATGATATACAGGCCTCATGTGAAACCTAATTTAAATTTTAAAAAACCTGAAAAACAATTGGGATGATTGGGAAAATGCAAATACTGGCTGTTAATTTGATGCTATTAAAAAATTATCTTCAAAATTTTTCACTGAAACTTATGTTGGTGATACTGTGGCTATTACTTTTTAAAAACGACACTTATCTTTAAGACACACACATACACACACACAGAAATTCTGTGAGGAAAAGGACAGCCAGGAATTTGCTATTAAAAGAAAATCCAATAATAAAGGAGGGCCAGGGGTGCCTGGCTGGCTCAGTCAGTAGAGCATGTGACTCTTGATCTCAGAGCTGTGAGTTCAGGCCCCACACTGGGTGTAGAGATTACTTAAAAAAAAATCTTTGGGGTGCCTTGGTGGCTCAATAGGTTGAGCACCTGACTTCAGCTCAGGTCATGATCAAGTGGTTCGAGACTTCAAGCTCCACATCGAGCACTGTATTGTCAGCCTGTCAGCACACAGCCCACTTCGGATCCTCTGTTCCCCTCTCTCTGCCATTCCCCCACTTCCACTCTCTCAAAACATAAAAACATTAGAAAATAATAATAGGAAATTAAACTAAAAAATAAAATCTTTAAAAAAATAATAAAGGAGGGCTGGGAGACAGAGACCCAGGTGTGCATATAGCTGAAACAAAATAATAGCCATGAATCAAAACTGTTAAGGCTGAAAAACTGGTATAGGAAGGTTCTTTGAAGCTCATCATAACAAAAAATTTTAACCAAAACTCACATTAAAATAAAAGAACAGGCATTACACTATATATCGCACATGAACAAATTACTGCCCATCTTCATTACACATACCGCTTTTGAAAAAAATTGAAGTATTCTAACAATAAAGCACAATATGCTTCATGATGCCAAAGAATCCCAAATCTCATGGTCCTTAATAGGCACCAACTTATAAATAACATGAACTGAAAGATACAGCTTACTAAACAGAAAAATGAACGCACTAAATTCACCGTCATGACTCCTTGTGAGATAAACACAAGAAAATAACCCCTGAACTAAAGATGAAAACACCTGTACAATTTCATGTGAAAAATGTTTTAACCTGCCACAGATCAAAACACATAAAACACTTAAGGGTGCTCAGATGCAAATACCATGAAGAGCTACATTTAAGTAAGAAACACAAGCTAGAATTTGCAGGGTATGATAGACACCCACACAGCAGTGTTTCTGAGAACAAAGCACCCAAAAGAAAGATGGAACAATAGATAAAATGCCCTGTTCTGCTTATTTCAGACCTGTGGTTGAATGCTGTTCTGTGACTTAATCTTTATACCACAAACATGGAGATTGCTGGGATAATTCTTTTTTAAATAAAATGTAGTGGCAGTTTCCAGTAAGTATAATCATCAAGGTTAGAAAGATCTGCTTCCCCAATAAAACCTGACACCCACAGTTAGATATTCCTCCATGATATTAGGCAGCAGAGAGAAACTAAACAGAACCCCCTATCACACAGTACCAGGAAAGGACAGAAAAAAACATCCAGGTAAAACCAGACAGCAGAAGGTTTCATAACAGGTAGACCCTAGAGACAACACGAGAGGCGAAATGGGCATTTTGGGGGGCAGTGTAGACAAAGGAGTGAACAGATGGGGAGAATGGAAGACAGTCCAAGTGTAGAGGCTCTTCAATCATCACAGTATCACTCTAGGTTTTGATACACAGGCCAAGGTCTTAATTAAAAGGCAATGTGGGGCACCTGGGTGTCTCAGGCGGTTGAGTATCTGACTTGGGCTCAAGTCATGATCTGATGGTTTGCAAGTTTGAGTCCCACATCAGACTCTCTGCCATCAGCGCAGAGCCCACTTCAGATTCTATGTCTCACTCTCTCTGCCCCTCCACTTGCACTCTATCTCTCTCAAAAATAAATAAACATTAAAAAAAAAAAAAGGCAATGTGGATACTTCCTCCCTATTCAAGCTCAGGAAGGACATCCTCACATACATGGAGCTTGAAAATGAAAGCAACAACTGGACCAGTGTTACTAGGAGGGGTCAACCCTAGGTTGGAGTAATAGGATCAGAGCTCTCCTTCTTAGGCTAACACATACAGACTGAGACCCAGGAGAGAGAGGCTCTGATTAGGAGGGCCTCTAGTATGGAAGGGCTCAAGGGAAGGGGAGTAGAGGAATGCAGATGAGATTAAGTCTATCAGTGAAAACACAAAATTTACATCTGCCTGGGTCTCCTACACTGTATCTCTCCAGGATCCTGAGCATGGTTGTGGAAGACTGGGTGGGATGTGATACAGCTCCAGCAGAGGAGAGGAAGCCCTGATCCCCAAACACAGTGGAGAGACTTCATTCTTTAGAGCAAAACTCTTTGATAGTGCTATTTGGACTCTTCTCCAATTTCTTTCCTCCTATTTGTTCTTGAGCATACTCTGGTAAGGCTTACCCTAGCACTCCAATGAAACAGCTCCAACCAACAGCCTCCACATTGCTAAATCCAACGGTCATTTTTCAGTTCCTAATTTCCCAACCTCCAAACACTGGAGTGCCTAGTATCCTTAGACTCCGTTCCTTTTCTACATTCTCACTCCACAGGTAATGCCATTTAGTCCATGGCCTTAAATGCTATCTATTAAGCTGATGACTTCCAAGGTAATCTCCAGCCCAAACCTCTCCCCTGAATTCCAGCATACATATAACCAACTGTCAATCCAACATGTCCATTTGAATGCCTCCTAAGGTTCTCAAACTGAACGTGTCCAAAACTGAACTCCTGATACATCCTCCCAAACCTGCTCCTCCAACAGTCTTTCCTGCCTCTGTGAATGGCAGCCCTTGCTCTCCAGTTGCTCGGGGTTAAAACGGCAGTCATCCTTTTCACCTCTCTTCAACCGCCTCATCTAACCCACCAGCAACTACTACTAACTCACTATTTCAAACTACATGCAGCCACTCATGGGTCAACTCTGGGACAATCTGAACATGAAAATAACGATAGCGATAGATTATAATCCAGAGAATTAAGAATCCATGAGTTCTTGTATGTAAATACATAAATTAAATAGGGGAGAAAAGAAAGCTTTTCCTTACAATAGAATGCCAACTAATAACTATGAAAATTGATGAAATTAGAAAATTGCCATTTGGCAACCACCGAGTAATGAATGTTTCAGGCGAAGATCATGGGATGCTAAACCTAGCAAGGGAGAATTGAAGAAGGGGATATCTAGCTGCATTCAGAGTCCTGCCTAAAAATACTTAAAAGGAAAATAGTTACTTTACAAAGGAGAAACCTGGCAGGCACCACTATCCGAATATTCAATGTTACCACCACCGGTAATGGGACAAATAAATATAAAAGTGCCTCCTGAGTGGGACACAACATCACTTCTTTGTATTCCTGCCAAAAATGCAAACTGTGAATTTAATCACGAGGAAACATGAGACAAACCCCAACTGATGATCTTCTAAAAAAAGAAAAAAATAGCACCTACTCCTCAAAAAGGTCAAGGACTTTTTTTTTTTTTTTTTTTGAGGTTACTTATTTTGAAAGAGAGAAAAAGAGAGTGCGCGCAAGCAGGGGAGGAACAGTGAGAGGGAGAGGGAGAACCCAAATAGGCTCCGTCCTGTCAGTGCAGAGCCTGATGTAGGGCTTGAACTCACAAACTGCAAGATCACATAGGTCAAGGTCTTGAAAGACAAAATGAGACTAAGTAATCGTTCCAGATTACAGAAGACTAAAGAGACATATCAGTTAAATGCAACAGGTGATCACATTTTTTAAAATAAAGGCAATTAGTGGAATGACTAGTGAAATTTGGTAGCGTTTGTAATATTAAAGAACAGTGATGTGAATTACTGTCAATTTTGTGAATTCGATCTTTTTACTATGCTTACATAAGAAAATAAAATTTAAGGGAAAAAGGTCTTCATGTCTGCAACTTCCTCTCAAACAGCTCACAGGGAAAGGTAATGTATGTGCACATGAGCGCACTACAGAGAGTTACAAAGCAAACAGCATGATAACGTTAACATTCTGAGGAATCTGGGTGAAGATTATGCAGTAATTCTTAGTATTTATTCATCTTTTCTGTGAAACTATTTCAGAATAAAATGTTAAATACACACACACACGATCTTGCAACCCCTCAATGCCACCATTCTATCTAAACCACCGTCCTCTCTCATCTGTATTACCATGGCCTGCTAATCAATCTCCATTTCTGATCTTGCCCTGACTTTTCTCAAAAAAGCAGCCGAGTGATACCGTCAAAATAGGAGTTGGATCATGGCATTCCCTGCTCAAAACCTCCAAAGCCTTTCCATTTCACTCTGAACAGAAGCTGACTCCCGCACTGTGACCTACGTGGCTGCACCTTTCACCCTCCCCAGTCTCCTCCAGCCACTTCTCACAGAAGTTCTTCAAACACACCGAGAAGGCTCCTATCTGAGGACCTTTGTTCCCTCTGCCTGGCAGTATTGCTCAGACATGTGTGGTTCCCTGCCTCGCCTCGGGTCTCTACTCAATGGTTAGCTCCCCACCATGGGCTTCCCTGGCCATCTCTCTCAAAACTCCCCCCTCACTGCCACTTGTTATCTACCTTCCCTACGTAATTTTCACTTCTTAGTGCTCATCAGTTTCTCACATGATGTGTATTTTACAAATTTGTCTTGTCTGGCTCATCTCCCCTGCTGGAACATAAGCTCCGAAAGAGCAGGTGTCTTGTCTGTTTTGTTCACTGCTGTATATATACCTGTGCCTAGAAACAGATGGAATAATGTAGGGGCTCAAAAGGCATCTACTGAATGAAGACTAGACAAAAGCACTTTTTAATATTCTTATGTTCTGTATTGGTTGACATAAACCTGCAAAGTCGAAGAAGAAATTTCAAAGTTTAAATCCATATACTCACCAAGGGAAGAACAATTACCCTCCACAGCCGCAAAGCTGCAAGCATATGTATGAGCAGGAACATAAGCAGCAGATGTATTTAGAAATGGATCCCGAACAACAACGTTATAAATGACACCTTGTCCTTGGAGGGAGGAGAAGGAAACAGTTGTCTTATCATTAGCTGTGAGGGTAACCACCTGAAGCCAAAAATAATCTGTGATTAGTGTTCAGATTTTTTAAAAAAGCTGTGCTATTATAATCCCACCTACATGTGATATTAAATTGTAATATTAAGTTATAATTCCTGTTTAAAATACTTACCGACCCATTTAGCTCTGTCAAAAGATTGTCCTACACAGTTTATATACATGCTACTATAAGGAAGTTCTTACACAAAATGCTTCTAAAGTTTTTGTATAGCATCAAATGTCAACGATGTAAGTAAAAGTGTAAACACTAGGACAAAATTGAAAATTTTTTTCTCATATGCTAGATTATAAACACAAGGGCAAGAGCCAGATTTATTATGCTCACTAGTCCTTCTTCTCTTCATACTCAGCACAATGCTTGACACAGAGTTAGTGTTCAACAAATGTTAGCTATTGCTACTAGCTATAGAACTGTCAAAGACAAGTGTTTACTAACATCTCACAGGACCCATTTATTTTTGTCTAACAGACTCTGCAGTAAGAAAACATTCCACATAGTTGTATTATGCAGTAGTCTTTCACTTCAAAAACTCCCTTTTAAAGCTTGTTAATTTTTAGATAGGTAACAGAAGATATGTGTTTTTAGATATATGTAACAGAAGAAACAAAGGCCCTACATGGCCAGAATACACAAATATGTTCCTGCTAATAAAAGTTAAAACATTTAATATTAGAGTTTCAGGGGGCGCCTGGGTGGCGCAGTCGGTTAAGCGTCCGACTTCAGCCAGGTCACGATCTCGCGGTCTGTGAGTTCGAGCCCCGCGTCGGGCTCTGGGCTGATGGCTCAGAGCCTGGAGCCTGTTTCCGATTCTGTGTCTCCCTCTCTCTCTGCCCCTTCCCCGTTCATGCTCTGTCTCTCTCTGTCCCAAAAATAAATAAACGTTGAAAAAAAAATTAAAAAAAAAATATTAGAGTTTCAGGAATAATTACAAGCCTCTTAGAAAACTTCTGTTTAAAAATATTGCTTAGCCTTCAAAAATATGTTTCTGGCAAAGGACTGGTCAAGTTCAACAAAATGTTAACATTACCTCCTACCCCCAAATTTTTTATTATGAATAATTCAACCTTATAGAAATGTTGAAAGAATAAAATGAATGAACTATATATACCACCACTTATATTTAACAATTGTTAATGTTTTGTATTTCTTTTTTTATTCCTCTCTCCTTCTTCCTCTTTTTCCTGCTGAATCATTTTACAGTAAGTTACAGATACAACATTTCACTCCTAAATGCTTCAATGTGCACACTCTAAAACAGTGTTTCTCAAACCTAATGTGCCTGTAAATCACTGGTAAAACTTGTTATAATTCAGATTCTGATTCTGTTGGTCAGAGGAGGCACCCGAGAGAGGGTCCACTTTTCTAGCACTCTTCAGGTGATGTCAATGCTACCCATTCATCTACACTCTGAGTAGCAAGGCACTAAGTGCGAGGGTATTCTATAAATCCCTAATGCCTTTGCTCACCTAAGAAAATCAATAATCTCTTATAATCTAATACACAGTCCATATTCAGATTTTCCCGTATGTTTTTTAAAGCTGTTCCCCACCGCTTAACCAAAATCCAACCATTTTATGCATGGTGTTTATCTCCAATCTAGGATCATCCTTCCCATCACTCCCTCCTACCCATCCAATGACCTTTAAGGAGATCCAAGAACAGTTGTCTTATAGGGGCATCTGACTGGCTCAGTTGGTAAAGCATGAGACTCCTTTTTTTGTTTTGTTTTTTTTTAAGTTTATTTATCCATTTTGAAACAGAGAGAGTGAGTCAGAGAGAGAAGGAGAGAGAGAATCCCAAGCAGGCTCTATGTTGTCAGCACAGAGCCCAATACAGAGCTCAAACTCACGAACTGTGAGATCATGACCTAAGCAGAAACCAAGAGTTGGATGCTCAATGGACTGAGCTGCCCAGGTGCCCCAGCATGCGACTTTTGACCTCAGTATTGTAAATTCAAGTCCTACATTGGGTGTAGAGATTACTTAAAAATAAAATCAAAAAAAAAAAAAAAAAAAAAAAAAAAAAAAAACAAAACGAAACAAGAGCAGTTGTCTTACTGAACATTCCACAATCTGGATTTGTCAGATTGTGCTCAAGGTATCCCACTTATTCTTTTATCCCATGTATTTTCTGCAAACAGGAATTACAATGGACTGAATTCAGTTAAACATATTTTGCTAGAATACTTTATAGATGATGGTGATGATGTCAGATTGTGCCATATGAGCATATAACGCAAGCCAACCTGCCATCAGTGAATCTAACTGACCACATGGATAAGATGGAGACCCTCAGATCATTCCATTTCAAAAGTACTTTTCCCTTTGGCAATTAGAATTAATCTCAGCATGCTATTTAGGCATCCTGAGAATATCCTGTTCCCCAACAATCTTTCATCTGATGATCCTTGCCTGAATTATTTCACTAGGGTTCAAAGAAAGGTGATTTTCTAATCCTAATACTCCTTCTACATATATTGGCCAGTATTATTCAGTAAAGAGCTTTCTCTCATCAACTAGGATGAATTTCAGTTCCTCTTTTACAAAAGGCAGTGTAAATTCCTTCCCTGTATCAATTTCCAGAGTAATTTGGTAGAAGAATCTTCTCCAATGATAGCAACTGACGAGTTTTCTTTTTTTTAAAAAAAAAATATTTTTTTTGATGTTTATTTATTTTTGAAGGAGAGACAGAGCATGAGGAGGGAGGGGCAGAGAGAGAGGGAGACACAGAATCCGAAGCAGGCTCCAGGCTCTGAACTGTCAGCACAGAGCCCGAAGCAAGGCTTGAACCCGTAAACCACAAGATCATGACCTGAGCCAAAGTCAGAGGCTTAACCGACTGAGCCACCCAGGTGCCCCTCTTTTTTTTTTCTTTCTTAATATCAGTGTGGTCTTGTTTTTATTCAAAACTTATAAGCAATCATTATTCTTTTTGATGACTGAATTGTCCCAAAGTTGGCCAGTATAAACCTCTTCAAAGTCTCCAGTTTTTCACACATGTCCTCATTAGTCACGGAGGGTTTCCTTCAACTCTGGCATACAATATTCTAACTCTTAACTTAAAAAGTAACCTAAAAAGCTCCTCTTATATGAATTCTTGTATTCTTCATGAGAATACAATCAATCTTCAAAATTTTCTATGTAAAAAGGCAACTGGTAAACTTATCCAAAAGACCTTCCAAATTTGTGAATAAGCACAGTGAGTTTTCTTGTATAAGGCTCCTTCTTAGCATGCGACCATGACATCCTAGGTGACATGGCAACAAAATGAGATCTTGCTCTTCAACGGACTGAGGCCCCTGGGCTAATCACGTATGCTCTGTTTCAGTCACTTCTTTCTACCTAATCTGTAACCTATCAGCCCTCTGGGAAGAATCAGAGCAGTCTATAAAAACTCTACCCATTAACCATTAGACTGAAGGATGAACCTGTAGGTTACACTGCTTTCAGGTACCTTTTAAGACATAAATCCTGCCCTCCACAAAAATGATCTATAGCATGAATCTCAAATTTTAATATGCATAGGAATCACTATGGGACCTCAAAACTCAAATTTTGATTCAGTCGGTCCTGGGTGGAGCTGAGGAGTCTGTAATTCTAACAAACTCCCAGGTGATGCCAATGCTGCTGGGGGTCGGTACCCTACACTTGGTATACCAAGAGTTTACAGGGGTTCAAAAGGTCAGAGAAAACTTTTGCTCCAAGTTAGAGGCTTTGAGTTTGGGTTTAAATATTAACGACAACGTGTGGGCACCTAGGTGGCTCAGTCAGTTAAGGGTCCAACTCATTGGTTTCAGCTCATGTCATGATCTCAGTCTGCGAGGGTTTGAGCCCTGAGTCAGGCTCTGTGCTGACAGCGCGGAGCCTGCTTGGAATTCTCTCTGCCCCTCCTCTACTCATGCTTTCACACTCTCTCAAAATAAATAAACCTTAAAAATATATATATATTAATGACAATATGTACATCCTTAAACAGTTTCTCATTGTCTTTTGTCAAAACACTGTAACTTTTACACTTGCCAAAAGTTTTTTTTTTTTTAACATTTATTCATTTTTGAGAGACAGAATGTGAGTGGGGGAGGGGCAGAGAGAGATGGAGACGCATAATCTGAAGCAGGCTCCAGGCTGTGAGCTGTCAGTACAGAGCCCAACGTGGGTCTCTAACTCACGAACTGTGAGATGATGACCTGAGCCGAAGTCAGAGGCTTAACCGGCTGAGCCACCCAGGCGCCCCAAAATGTAATACAATTTAAAGCACTTCCTCAAAAGCCAACACTACTCTGGGATATCACTAACAAGACAATAATGAAATAAAAGATAATAAAGTGAGAATCCCAGAAAGACCAAGGACACAGTAAAGAAATAAGCTCCAGGAAGCTTCTCCCCTTCCCAGCTCTTACAAATCTGGCCCACACAAATTGTTAAGAACCAGATTTACCTTGATAGCATTGGCCTTCACCTGAGGCACCTCGGCCATCCTCTGCAGATGCTTTAGCAACCCCTCTTCGGTGAGGTCATTCTCAGGCAGAAAATACTGATAGACATCATACAGCAACCTCCACCTAGAGTCCCGTTCCATCCCAATGTCACATGGCGGAGGATTTGTGCCTCTAAAGTCAACCAACAAAATTGAACATCAATCTCTTGTGGTGCATGTCCCATCTATAAAAGGAACCAAAGGCTCAAATTTCCAACTTCTGCATCAATTCCAATTTTGGCATTGTGAAGAAAAGTAACATACTGAGAGGCAGTATGGCTAAATAACCAGATGCTAATAATGTCAGTCAGGCCTGGAGTGAAATGTAGCTTCGCCACTTGTTAGCTATGTGTGTGTGGGCATGTCACTAAATCTAACCCTTAGGGAACCACTCTATAAAATAAAAACACCACCTCTTCTGAATAAAACTGTTAGGATTAAATGGACAAGAAGATATAGCATTCAGCACTATGGATGATGCACAAACAGCATTCAAATGTTACTCAATGTTAGCTATCATTACTATTAAAGTAAAAACTAAGGCAGAGTTTTAATTAATATAATAAAATCTTTACGAAAAGATACGGGTGTTTCATGGCTTCAGAATGCTTTCCATATTCAAAACTCTTTACAGAAACTAAATGTACGTCTAAGCTCACAATAGGACTCAACATCTGGCTCTTCCTAAGAATGGAAGGGGCCAATGTTAATTGTGACAGCTTGAAGTATTACTTACAATGCTTAAATTACCTCCATTCTGAAAAAAAGAAAAAGTGAACAATTCAAGTTTACTAAAGAGAACCATGAATTTTGAGAGTTTACCGAATCTACATAGTAGCTGATCATGTATGTCCTAAAAGCAGTTTTAGGAGACAGGAAATAGACATACCTTGCATAGCCAAGGTTTGCTGGGGCAAATTTAATAGTTGTCTCAAAGAAATTATACTCCAAGTAAATGTTGGGATCAATATCTAAATCAAACTCCAAATTACAGCCTCCAGGGATAGGATCTGGATGAAAAAAGGTAAGTTACTCAACACAGAATTCTTATATATTCAAATCATACTCAGGAAACCAGAACTCTACTCTTATAAGAACTTCCCATAGAGAAGCTAAATAAATATAATAGAGCTTCTGGTTTTACACTACCACATGAACTGAGATTAAAGAAGGAAAAGTTAATTGAGGTTAGCAAGCAATTTCTGTAAAAGGGTGTGATTGGGAACATTTCAGGTTTCACACACCTGGCCATTTCTGTGGCAACTACTGAACCCTGCCCTCATGGCACGAAAGCAGCCATAGGCAGTAACGTAGGCAAACACGGCCATTTCTAGTAAGACTTTATGTACAAAACATGCAGACGCTGGATTTGGCTCATGGTCTATGTTTGCCAACCCCTGCTCTAGAGTTGAAAAGGTCTGGAAACAGATATTCTTGAGCTGGTATCCAAGAATGGGCTCCAGGGGTCCCAAGAACACCCTGAAATTGTATGCCAAGTGTCGAATGTGTGCATGTCCTAAGGAGAGAGGTTTTCGTTAGATTTTGAGAGTCTACAAACCCACAAAAAGAGCTTAAGAACCCAGGGATAAAGGGGAAAAAACACTGCCAAAGAGAAAAGGAACTCCACAGTAATAAAGAAAGGGGTGTCCACTTTTCACATGCTTCTTTCAACAGGAAGAAAGATGATGTCATCCTCAGTGCTGAAATAGTCTGTGTATATAAAGTAGTAAAAATAAAAGACTCTCAAGATCACATATCAGCATTTGGATATTTAATTAAATACAAATTTTGGGTATTCCACTTACATTAATAATGTGGCTAAAACAGCTCTTTTTTTCTCATTAGGAATCCTATTCATGCCCTTCAGCATGACAAAACTTAAGTCACTTGACATGAGCTCAACTCTATATGAAGAACTGTATATGGTGGACTCAAATGGAAAGGTTGAGATAAGACAGATCAAGGTAAACCAAGTTCAAGATCTACAAGATCTCAATTTCACACACTCATCCGATCAATCACTCCCATGGTTGGGTCCTGGTTTCCGTAAACTGATGGAATTCTGGTGGTTGACTTCCCCTGGCCAGTTCTGTAATGGAGAAACTGAACGTGTGCCTATGTTTCAACATTGCTCTTCTTTCATACTCTCCTTTTCCTGCATTTACAAATCTTTACCACACCCAAGAAAAGGATACGGATTGGAACGGAAGCCGTACTGTTCGTGATTTTTCTTTATACGCTGTCCTCGATAAAAAGTCAAAGGCTCTGGTTTTCCTTTTCTAAATAAATTACCCTTTGCTACATATAACACAAGGAGTGGTCGAAATTTCCTCACCTCACCTTCACTCCTCAAGCACTGTAATCTAGTTTTCATCCCCATTGTGCCACTAAAATGAGTGTCATTAAAGGCCACTGCTGACTCTTCACTGCGCTATCATATGGACACTTTCAGTCACTTCCTTGACTCCTCTTTAGTCTTATGCTTATTCCTCAGCAGTTAGCATCCCCCGAAACAGTGCCCGACATGTGGTAGGCACCTTGAAAGTATCTGCTATTATGTTTTCCAGATAAGTCTCTAAGTACATGCCTAGACAATCTTACTCACTTCTCTGCCCTATGCCCTTCCATCCAGATGTCCTGTAAGCATCTCAGATTCACAGTGTTCCTAACTGTAGTCACAACTACCCCATCTTTATCACCTAAACCAATCCAGCATCACAACTCTATCTCAACCCTACCTATTTTGCATCACTATCTCCCAGCTAGCCAAATGGGAAGCCTACGTTCCTCCTTTTCATAATCCATAACCACTGGCCATTGTGTCTTATCAGTGCTACTTTCCAAACACCTTCTCACTTTGAGCACTTAAAGGTATGCTGAGTCTTGACTCTGCTATGCCCTCTCCAAATACTCCCCACACTGCTTCTAGAGTTAATTTTCGGATAGCTGAAATACAGATCATTCCTCTGCTTAAAAGCGCAATGCTCCTTCAGAATAGAATGTAAACCTTAAATTGTACACAAAGCCCTTCACACTCTGGCTCCAGCCACACCCAATATTCTGCCATTCTCTAAATACTCTCCATTCTTCTCCCATGCCTTCCTCTGCCTGGAATAATCAGGTAAAGTGTTAAGGACGGTACCTTGCCTTTCTGTTAATGCTTTTTCAAGGGCTCCTTAAATTTTTTTTTTTTTTTAATTAATGACTGCATTCTCCTATGCTCCTACCTGGGCTTTCAATCATCATGCTCTGATTCCTTTGCTGTTAAAATCTTTCATCCAATATACTGTACTTGCAATAAACACTTTTAAAAGGATTATAGTTTCCCCTGAATTTTCATGAAAAAGTTCCACAATCTGGAGAGTAAATAGAAAGTCGAAAACAGGAAGGTTACCTCTTTCTGAATAGGAGAGTGGAATGGCCATGTTTTGGACAGGCTCAGCATCTAAAGTCTGCAAATACAAAGTGCACATACTCTGCTCTGGTCTAAGAATGAAAACCAGTCCTTTGTCAGTGCCTGTCCCTGAGGTATTGGGAAGGAGAGTCTGCAGTAAGGTAAAAAAGAATCATCATGAATAAGGAGTTGAGCAAAATATTTAAATTCCAGACTTGATCTAGTATGCATGTCCTATTTCAAACTTTCTCAAAACAAGAACAAACACAGACCTTCCTTATATAATTAAAGAATTCTTTTCATGTCTATATATGGGTGCACACACGTACACATGGAAGAACTATTGAAGTATATGACCTTTGATAGGAATAGCAGATGCACAGTGAAATTCTCAAGTTTTTCAATTCCCCAAATTAAGATTTCCTATGTAAAGTACTAAGACTACTGTCAAAAGAAAAAACAATTCAGTAGAGAGTTTGGTGTCCTTTATTCAAGGAAAAACAACCCACAGACTGGGGGAGAACAGTGCCTTACAAGCAGTGGAGCACTGTTCCTGAGGCACTGGGGGCAAAAGTGAGTTTTATAGCTCACTTTGGCTAGGACGTCAGGGATTTCCTTATAAAGGCTAGCAGGTCCTTTTTCCTAAAGCTAGCTAGCTAAAGCAGAGTTGTAGCACTGTGACTAGCATGCTAGGTTTATCTGACAGGAGAAGTGCAAGTTGACTCAGGTTTAGACTTGTGATATGAACCGGGCCAGTGAGCCAGCCTCCATCTCGTAGGTCCAATATACAAATTAACTATCAATACAAAGACAAAAAGATGAGCACTGTCCCTAAACTGGAAAGTTTTTTAAATAAAATGAGCTAAAACTGACATATTATAAACTACACATAAAGAATACTATAGGGGCACCTGGGTGGCTCAGTTGGTTAAGCATCCGACTTTGGATCAGGTCATGATCTCAGGTCATGATTTCGGGAGTTCAAGTCCTGCTTCAGTCTCTGTGCTGATAGGGCGGAGCCTGTCTGGGATTCTCCGTCTATCTCTCTCTGCCCCTCATCTACTCATGCTATCTCTCTCTCAAAATAAATAAGCCTAAATAAGTAAATAAAATGCTATGTAAGTACTGATATACATAGACACTTGTGGAACCATCATCACAATCAGGATTATCCTCCTTATTCTTCCACTCAACCATTCCCTAACTCCATCCCTTCACCCCAACAATCTGGAAAGCTTTTTGTTTTTTGTTTTTTTAATTTTTTTTTTCAACGTTTATTTATTTTTGGGACAGAGAGAGACAGAGCATCAACGGGGGAGGGGCAGAGAGAGAGGGAGACAGAATCGGAAACAGGCTCCAGGCTCTGAGCCATCAGCCCAGAGCCTGACGCGGGGCTCAAACTCCCGGACCGCGAGATCGTGACCTGGCTGAAGTCGGACGCTTAACCAACTGCGCCACCCAGGCGCCCCTGGAAAGCTTTTTGAATAACAAAATACTAAGTTAAGAGGTAGTAGATTCAGAGCGTTTTCTTAAAGCTAAGAAAAAGCGAGGAAAAAGCGTCAGATGGGTTTCAACTTGACAAGCCTAAGGGAAAATGACTCAAATACTAATTGAGGAACTGCAGAGTCAACAGTTTCAAAGAACCACCTGCTCTGATGACCTAAAACAACCCAAAGTGCCACACTTCCTCCGGAAGGGTATTGGAAACAGACACTATTCTCTTCACACGGACCACTCATCTTTAGAGCTATGTGCAATTCTGGGCATCAGTTTCTCAGGAGTATAAATAGAGTGACAACTATGGCCCATCCAAGAAAGGAAGATGATTATAATTCAGGATAACTAAAATCTGCTCTACATAAAAACGGAGGCCCAACATGCTGTTCATTCAGGCCACTTCAGTCACATAGTTATGTGGACATTCCTTTGTCCAAGCTGTTTCCTCAAACGTAAAAACATGCATTAAGACTACTTTGTTGAGCTGTTGTGAGAATTAATTACATGGAAACCAAACACAGGGGTTCCTAACTAGGAGCCGCAGAGGCCCAATGAATTTCCAGAGGTGCCCATGAAATTATACAAATGTATCCATGTTTTGCTGGGTAGAGGGTCCAGAGATTTCAGTGGATTCAAAGTCCATGGCCCCAGAAGGGCTTAAGAATCATCGACTTAGCCCCTAGTAAGCATGCAAAAAAAAAGTAAATCCCTTTTTTCTCAATCCTTTCTCTTCTTTCAAATGTTGTCTTTGCTCTGATGTTATTAAAGAAATCATGTGTGTAGCATTTTACTATGTCTCCTATGAAAGGGCCTGAATAGGAAGTTTCCTTTGGATTTTAGTGCCAGAAAAAAAAACTTGGTTTCCCTGAGGAACTGGCGTGATTTTTCCTTCTAAGAAAGTTAAAACATTTAACAAGCTTTGATCTCTGCTCTGGCAAAATCTGAGTGGGGGTCATAAACACCATTAACTCTTGCAATTTATATAATTTATTCCTTCTTCTCCTTGATCAAACTCTTTCATTTCTAGCCTATTAAACTACCAAATGCACTATCTCAAAACCTTTATGGCAGGGAAAAGAATGCAAGTATACCAAATATTTAGTATGAAAGGTAGTATGACCAATGCCTACGGAATATATATGAATTGGACTAAGACCACTTAGTTTAGCAAATTTCAGAATATTAAAAGATAGGCTTATAACAATAGATAGGCTTAAGACGAATAAAAAGCAGCATGACTTCATACATGCTGAAATGCATTTATTAGTGCAAGGGGATCATATAGGCTGAATAAAAATAGATTTATAAAAGGTTAATGTAAATGGCAGTTCCTTAATGAGTTGAGCAAATCTAGGGCATCTGAAACACTTCCCAAAGGTGAGGCTGAGGTTAAAGGGTTTAGTGATGATCTCTGAAATAGAGTCTTAAATGCTCCTGGAAGCACAGCACTAGGCTAGATGACCTGGGTGTTGAGCTTCTTTTGTTTCTGTGAGATTCCAAAGAATAAAGTTGAACCTACAAGTGTCTTAGTAATCTTAGTAAACACTAAATGGCTGCACAATGACGGAAACCCATCAAAACGTATTCAGAGGTAAAAATCATCAAGGACCCAAGAGAGTAAGAAAAGGTGAGAAATCACATGCAGATAGGAGACATCTGGCAGAGCCCACCCTTCCCCCCAAATTCAGCACTCTCCCACCCCCTCTTTAAGTCAGAGGTCACCACACTCAAGAAAGGCCCAAAATGGGGCGCCTAGGTGGCTCAGTCAGTTAAGCCTCTGAATTCAGTTCAGGTCACGATCTCACAGTTCATGAGTTCAAGCCCCGCATCGGGCTCTGTGCTGACAGCTCAGAGCCTGGAGCCTGCTTTGGATTCTGTGTCCCTCTCTCCCTCTCTGCCTCTCCCCCTCTTGTACTCTGTCTCTATCTCTCAAAGATAAATAAACATTTAAAAAAAAAATTTAAAAAAAAAAAAAAAAGGCCCAAGACACACAGACACATGCCTCTTAGCCAGTCTAAATCACTAAGTTGACTGGATCCAATCTTGATTTTTTTCTTTTAAGGGCATAAAGTTAAACATAAAGAGGAATGCAATTCTCATGTTTATACTAAATACAAGACCCTCAAATATGGTGTTTAAGAAATAACTCTCTGTACTTACCTTAGAAAAAGAAATTGTTGTATTCTGATACTGTGAGTGTATTTGGAAAATAAGAAAAGACACATTGCTGGAAATATGACGCAAAATGGCATCCTCTGGAAAGGGCCTGTTGAGCTCGAAGTATCTAAACTTCCCTACAGAAAATTCAAGAAGACCTGCAATGGGAGAAACATTTCATTGTAACATCTGAACCTGTAATATCAATTTGTAGAAATCACATACGTAAACATACATGCATTGCTTATTTTAATTCTCAAAAAACCTGGGGAGATAAATAATATTACTACTCCTATTTTACCGATGACGACAAATTGGCTTAAAGAGGGGAAGCAGCTAGTAAATGGTGGAACTGAGAAAATGGAAGAGAGGTGTTTCAAAAGATGTGAGCAATACTTAGAGTGCTGAGGATGCCTGAGGATGTTCAAGAATGCCCAAGGTGTCCAGCTCCTCGAACCCAGAAAAATCTCCCACTGCAGCAGCGATAATAATTATTCAAAATAGAGCCCTGGGGGGCACCTGGCTGGCTCAGTCAGTAAAGCATGAGACTTCTGATTGTCCTGATCAAGCCTTTTGTGGTACAGAGTCTACTTTTAAAAAAATTCAAAAAACTAAAAAATTAAAAAACAAGGGCCCCCGAGTTTAAGGTTTAACCTTGAGGAGGTACTAACAACTATGAATACACGAGGTTAAAAACAGAACTTGGAATGCCTGGGTGGCTCAGTCAGTCGGCCAAGCATCCGACTCCTGATTTCAACTCAGATCATGATCCCAGGGTCTTAGGATTGAGCCCTGTGTTGGGCTCTGTGCTGAGCAGGGACCCTGCTTGTGACTCTCCCTCACACTCCCTCTGTCCTTCCCCCCACTTGTGCTCTCTCTCTCAAAAAAATAAACTATAAAAATAAATAAAGTAGAAAAAAAGATTTAAATTTAATAAAGATGAAAGAGTTGGTGAGATAGATTATAGGTCACTAGCATTCCATAGTGGAACGGTTTTATTTTAAAAGGAAATTAAAGTCAGTGGGTGGCAAAGGAGAATACCCCAGACATTAAATAACTTCAAACCCATTTTTATGTACCATTTCCCAAATGGGCTAATTTTCAACATTTTTTTTTTTAATACAAGTACTACTTCTGGATGATTAAAAAAAAAGACTAACAATGGCTAACCAAAAAAGCTGAACAGAACATACAAAGAATCCTACGATGAGATCAAAGGTTACTCTCCATAAATTCCCCAAATTCCACTGATGCCATTATATTACCTCCATAACTTTTTATAAGTGATAGAAAAAAAGTGATTTGTAGTTATGATTTAATTTCTAAAACTCCAGAGAAAATTTTAATACTGGTAACAATGACAAATGAAGATGGTATATTTCCTTCTATTTATGTTACTGGAAACACATTTTACATTTTATGTAGAACAAAACAGGTAAAAATATCAGGTAAAATACAGGTAAAAATATCAGGACGTATTTAACAAAATCTGGGTAGGAAAGTCTAGAAAATGTGAGAGAGTTTTTTGTTTTCCTTTTTATAAAGGGAAACAAGAAAAAATTTTTTACATTTTCCAGGCCTTCCCATTATCATGATTATTTTATCAGGAAACCAAATTATACATAAAATTAAGCGGATCTCAGTAAGTGGCCCTAAAAACATTGCATGTAATGTATTTTGCTCCCATCTATCCTGTCTTCCAAGTCTTAAAAATGTCCACAAATTCTAGCCTGTCAAACTAAAAACAGTATGTTTGTTTTCCCAGGAATTAATTGGATTTCCATCATTTAACTATCTGTCCAAAGCACTCAATTCATTTTTCACTTTGCATTTAACTCCAGTGTGGTTAACATAACAGTGTTATAGTAGCGTCAGGTGTAGCACTCAGCTCATTTACCATCCTGCCTCTTCTAGTAATATTTCCAGTCTTTGTATTTGTTTGTTTTGTTTTAGTTTTTCCCTTTTCTTCCCCATTTTCTCTATTTGACAAATATTTATGAAGTACTTCTGGACTACTTGCTCACCTACTGGGTACTGTGACCAAAACTGGTACAAGTAAATTTGTAAAGGTTACCCAAGATTTCTGTAATTGTCACTAAATTTGCCCCTAAGTATATCTTAGAAATGGTTTTGATAATCTGTGTCGATCTCCCCTTACACAGGCCTTGAATCAAGACTCTATGCAGAACCTTTAGAAGCCCTGGAAGAGATTTTAAATTTTTTTTTTTTTTTAACGTTTATTTATTTTTGGGACAGAGAGAGACAGAGCATGAACGGGGGAGGGGCAGAGAGAGAGGGAGACACAGAATCGGAAACAGGCTCCAGGCTCTGAGCCATCAGCCCAGAGCCCGACGCGGGGCTCGAACTCACGGACCGCGAGATCGTGACCTGGCTGAAGTCGGACGCTTAACCGACTGCGCCACCCAGGCGCCCCTAGAAGCCCTGGAAGAGATTAAAGATACCACCTAGTGAAGTCCTGTGTCAAGCTTTTCTTAGCCTTCCCTTAACCTATCACACAGGGGTGAAAATAAATCACAACTCAGAAAGACTTGGAAAACCAAAGTTTTCAGTGCTTTAAAAGGCAGTAAGGAAAGACAGGACCACAGAAATTGAAATACATAATTAAACAGCTGGTAACTTAAAGTAAATAGGCGTATTGAAAGTAGGTATCCTTGTGAGTATATGAATACATATTAATTGATTTTTCGTTTCTTCACACATATCACTGGTTATCAAATTTCTGTAGTGACAGTGAAAGGTTCTTATCAGAAAGAAACTGCACAATTTGAAAAACTTCCATTTTTTTTTTTTTAATTTCCATTCTTGATGGCACTCAAAACACAGGTTCTACCTCAACACTTCATCTCAAATTTATAAAACAGGAACACACCCCAGATAAAATGATGACACTCTCAACACTCTTGTCACTCATTTTGTTTTTCCTGTAAATTGGTAATATTTGTCCAGACAATATATAACCCTTATTATAGAAAGGTAAGAAATGTAGAGAAAATCAATACCTCCATCCAAGTATACTGTGCAGAAATAATCACTATTAACACACTGATATACATCTTTTAGGACTTAGATATCATGTAATATTTCTATCTACATAGATGGAAGAAGAAATATAAATATGTCTGATACAGCCCATTTAATAGGACATACTTATCTCTGAACATCAATACAAATAATTCTAGCTTTACCATTTTATTTTTATTTTTAATTTACATCCAAATTAGCTAGCATTTGGTGCAACAATGATTCCAGGAGATTCCTTAGTGCCCCTTCCCATTTAGCCTATTCCCCCTCCCACAACCCCTCCAGTAACCCTCTGTCGTTCTCTAGATTTTTGAGTCTCTTCTGTTTTGTCCCCCTCCCTGGTTTTATATTATTTTTGTTTCCCTTTCCTTATGTTCATCTGTTTTGTTTCTTCAAGTCCTCATATAAGTGAAGTCATATGATACTTTTCTCTGACTAATTTCACTTAGCATAATACCCTCTAATTCCATCCACGTAGTTGCAAATGACAAGATTTCATTCTTTTTGATTGCTGAGTAATACTCCATAGTATATATATACCACACCTTCTTTATCCATTCATCCATGATGGACATTTGGGCTCTTTCCATACTTCGGCTATTGTGGATAGCTCTGCTATAAACACTGGGGTGCATGTGTTTCTTTGAAACAGCACACCTGTATCCCTTGGATAAATGCCTAGGAGTGCAATTGCTGGGTCATAGGATAGTTATATTTTTAGTTTTTTGAGGAGCCTCCATACTGTTTTCCAGAGTGGCTGTACCAGCAGGCATTCCCACTAGCTTTACCATTTTAAAAGTTATATAATATTCCATTCTGTATGTAACCATTAATTATTCAACAAATCCCCTACTGATGAACATATAGGTTGTTACCATTCCAGCATAAATAGAAAATAATAGTTGTTTTTGTGAAAGAGTCTTCTAGAAAGCATATACACATATCAGGCAGTAAAACCTATTTGAGGTTTTTACTGTGACAGTGTTAACAGATCACCTTTGATCTTCAATGGTTAAATTACCTAAGAAGTCTTGTTCTCATTTAGAAAATCAGAAAGAGAACAGCCCATGTGAAAATATATAATGATCAGGACCATAACATTAAGTTACAGTCTCTGCTTCTGACTTCAATAAAAACACCTGGTTATAACTTTCATCTATTACTTCCTGGATTTCCAAAAGTTATGAAAAGATGACATCTCACTCACCCTCTTTCCCTAATCAAATACCGGTAGCAAGAACCAGGCAGATGCCAGATAACAAAGGAGACACTGCATTCATATTTTAAATAACTGATCACTTGACAAAATAAGTAGGGGTATTAAAATGAGGTGCCTCTGGGGGTGTATTGTAAATAATTTTTTCTTTGCACGCTTTCAAATTTTCTATAGCACTCCTAAGGTGTCCTTATTAGAAGGAAATTCTCATACAGTGGTTATCCACCCTGGCTGTGTATTACAATCATCTGGAGGTGCTTTTTAAAAACTATTGCTGCCTAAGCCCCTATCCAGACCAGTTAAATAAAAATCCAAGGGGTTAGGGTCCAAGTGTCAGTTAAAAAACATTTATTGAAATAATATACATACAGGGGCACCTGGGCTGCTCAATTGGTTAAGTGTCTGACTCTTGATACTGGCTCAGGTCATGATCTCAGGATTCAGTTCATGGGTTCAAGCCCCATGTCAGGCTCTGTACTGACAGTTCAGAGCCTGTTTAGGATTCTCTCCCTCTCTCTCTGCCCCTCCCCTGCATGTGTGTGTGCGTTCTCTCTCTCTCAAAATAATAAACATTAAAAAAAAAGAAAGAAAGAAAGAAAGAAAAGAAATAACATACATAAAGAGAAGCGCACATAGTTTACACTGCCAGGTGAAGAAACAGCATTCTACCATCTTAGAGGTCTTGTGGCCCGTTTCTATCACTAAGCCTTCCCTCCGGCCCAGAGGTACTGTGATCCTAACTTAAAACAAATTGATGGGCTTTGTCTGTTTCTGAAATTAGGTGGAATCATACAGGATGAATTCTTTTCTTTCTAGCTTTTTAAAAATCAATACCATCTGTGAAATTCATCTAAGCTACTACAAGTAACCACGATTTATTCATTCTCATTGTTATATACTTCTTGAAAGGAATAAACCACAATTTACTTATCTATTTTTCGGTAATCAACATTTGGATTATTTCTAGTTTGGAGTTATGAATTATAAAATGAACTCCATACATTTTTTTGTACGTCTTTTGGTACACATATGTACACATTTCTATTGGGTAGATCATAAGAGTAGAATCATCAGGTAATAGGGTATACTTATGCTCTGCTTTAGTAGATACTACCAAAGAGTTACACCGCATGGTTTTGCCAATTCACACTCCATCGACCTGTGGAAGAGTATTCTGGCTGCCCAATAGTCTCACCAACACTTGGTATCATCTGTATCTCTTCCGGGTGCACAGTGGTATATCACTGTGATTTCAATTTGCATTTTCCTACTAAAGAGGTTAAGAACATTTTGGTTTGCTTATTGGCCATTAGATATTCTCTTTGTAAAAGGGTCTGTGTTCAAGACTTTCGTCCGTTTTATTTATGTAAAACAATTTTTTTAACGTTTTATTTATTTTTGAGAGAGAGAGAGAGAGAGAGCGCGCATACAGGGGAGGGCAGAGAAAGAGGGAGACACAGAATCCAAAGCAGGGTCCAGGCTCCGAGCTGTCAGCACAGAGCCCAACGTGGGGCTTGAACCCACAAACTGTGAGATCATGACCTGAGCTGAAGTTGGAGGCTCAACCGACTGAGCCACACAGGCACCCCAAGACTTTTGTCCATTTTAAAAATCAGACTGTCCTGATTGAATTTTAGTTCTTTATACATCATGGGTAAATCTCCCATTCTTGTAAGTTGCTACCTTTACATTAACAGGAGATTTAATTTTAATGTAGTCCAATTTCTTGGGGTTTTCTCTTATGCTTAGTCCTTTTTGTGTCATTCTAACCCAATCTTTGCCAACATATTCTAAGACTGTAAAGCTATATTCCCCATGTTAACTTCTACACCTTTGTTTTACCTTTGATAGTTAAGTCTAAAATCAATCTAAAATTTAAAAAATAAGTCTAAAATTGATTTTTATATGTGGTATAAGGCAGGGGGTTAACAGGTTCATGTTTCCATATGTATACCCAGTTGACACAGCAACCTTTATTGAAAATACCAGCATTTCCCTACTACTCTGCAATCCGACTTTTCACATAAGTCACCACGTTTGTTGGTTTGTTTCTGGACTCTGACTTGTATTCCAGTGGTCTATTTGTTTCTCCTAACACCAATATTACCTTGTTTTAATTTCTGCCCCCAAATTTGTTCTTTCTCTTCAAGATTATCTTGACTATTTTTGGCCATTTTTCATTTCCATATAAATTTCAGAAAGCAGTTTGTCAATTTCCACACACACACAAAAAAAAATTGCTGGGAATTTGGGATGGCAACGAAGGTATTAAGGAGAAATGATACCTTTATAACACAAAATTTTCTAATTTATGAATCTGCGATATCCCTCTACTTAGCTTCTCAATTTATCTCAAGAATGTTGTATGGTTTTTTTCTGTAGAGATCTTTACATATTCCATTATAACTATCCCTAAATATCCCATATTTCCTGATGCTACTGGAAATTCATTTTTTCTTTTAAATTTTAATTTCTAGTTGCCTAATCACCAATCTGCCTTTTTAAAAAGTTCTCCAAGTGATTGTAATGTTCATTCAGGTCTGAGGACTCCTAACACAATGTTTGATGAATTAGGAAAAGATAATTTTTTTTTCCTATTCTTAGTTATCTTTAACCTAACTTCTGTGTGAAAATCCTTTGTGAGTGTTACCTTGGCAATCTAATTGCCATTTCACAATTTTTATAGAAGATTGCATATTCACCAAACCATTTGTGGTTTGACTCTTGGCTATGCAGGGCTTTGTTTTATTTGACATTCTTGTGCCTAGTACAGTACCAGTCACATATTTGGCACACAATAAATGGTATATGATTTATGTCCTCAGGAAAGTAATTTACTTCCTCTGGGCCTCAGTTTCCCCACGGCAAAATGGAGGTCACATACTGCATACATCATTTGGCTGCTGAAAGTATAAAACACATAGGGAAAACAATTTCAAGCTGTCCAATGCTACACAATAAAATATTGTTATTAACTTCCATAAGCTTTCCAGTATTTCAGAAGCTCATCTTATTTAGAAAAAAAAAGAAAAAGACATCAGACATTCAATTTGGCCCTACCAATAAACTATACATGTCCAGCGTAAGCATCAAAGTGAGAAAGAGACTTCCACGGAGTGACAAAGAAAAATACTGAAAATCAAGACTTTAACAATACAGTCTGGCAGAAAATGCATTTAATTTCTACTCAAAGACAGACATGTATCCAAAATATATCCTGAATAAGTTAACAGGAACTTAACTTCTCCTCTAAGCCATCTGGAAAAGGATTCGCTAGCAACATTTTACGAGGCATAATTAGATCTTATGACTTTGGGAGTGGGAAGGAAAAAGACAGCACATCAAACGATATTACAGACAAATGGCTAACATGGAGACAGAGCACTCAGGCCAAGGCTCTCCTCTCAAAAACAATGGCTCGGCTTTTTCTGCCAAAGATGTTTTCTGCCATCTAACTAACCCACAGTCAGGCACTCTTTTCTATTGTTCATATGCCCCCTCCATTCTTACCCAGGGTAATTCTTCTTTCTAATAATTTCTTTCTAAAAATAGCTGCCTAATCCTAATCTTCTCCTTTCCTTTCCCAATCAGATCCTAAACTCAAACCTTAAAGTTATCCAACTCTATTTTTTTTTTTTTTTTACTAAAATTTACCTCTCTGTGCTTTGACACAAATTCTAGATCTGTGAAAGCTTAGTTGTCATAATTCTCTTCAGATGAACTATTAAAAAAAAAAACAGGTCAGATACTTAAGTTGGTTGGCATTCAACTGCCCCTCGCCATTTTTCATTTATGTCTTATGAATTTTCATTAGCCCCAGAAGCTGAAAGGACACACAGAAATGTACATACTACCTTTCACACTTTTTAAAAGAGATCATTTTCAACTAAGTATACAAATGGCCTGCTACCTTAAATTTAGCACTACGGATAACACAAACATAGGTATTAAATACAAAAGTACAGAACTAGAAAAGATGTGGATCACAGCCCTCCTGACTCAGGAGCCTTGATCAACTACAAATTCAATCTCTCAAATTCTCCACCTGTTAAAATGGAGATACCATCTCCATTACCTGCCTCATAAGGCTATTCTGAGGAATGAGAATTCACAGAATTAAGGGTAAAGTACCATACTAAACAGAATATTCTTATTGGAGGGCAGCTTTGTTGAAGTGGAAGGGCCATGCAAATTAAAACTGCAGCAAGACACACTTGGGTTCAAATATCACCTGTGCCCCTAGCAATTGTTCACCTGTGTATTAAGCAAAACCCAGGGCCTCAGCTTCATCCTCTGCCAAGCAAGGAGGAGTAATTTACCTCCTGGGGTTGTGAGGATTAAATTACAATGCCATGGAAAGCACCTGGCACATACAGCACGTGGTGAACGCTAGTGCCACATTATTAACAAGGCTATTTTTTCTGCAAAAATATAACGGCCCTTTTCAGCTCTGGCCTTAAGTCCTCTGCAGCGATTCTACGATTCAGTTTGCACAAGAGCTTTCCAAACATGAGCAGTGAGGAACACAACCACACTATTCAGAAAATACACTGGTTCAAAACTGCAACTGGTCTCTTAAGCTCAAAATAAAAGAATGTGATTAACCTCACGGAAAAGCACATGATTACCATCAGCCTAGCACAATTAGTGCTTTTTTTACGGTTTATATTAACAAACCACGAGCTATTCACCAAGCACATGCCCTACCATCCAAAGTCCCATTCTGGGTTTACTTTTCCTTTCACACTCCGCAATGTAAAAGCATCCAGATTTTGGAATGTAAAAAACCTCTGCAGCTAGGAGGGAACATCATTCATAGAGCCCTTAGTTCTGCACCAAACCTCGCTGTCCAAGGGCTCAGATATACCACTGGAGAGCAGAGGTGTTTTAATGTGTTAAATTAAACTTACAAACATGGCTTCTCTCAAAGGGAAATAAAAACGTGTCTGAACAGGAGAGTTACTTACCTCTCCCCATTTGCCCAGCCTAAATTAGGAGGTTGACGGTGAGGCCTCCTTAGCATCGAGTTTCCTTCTGCAGGAAAGGACCCTGATCCATTCCCACCGGGTCTGAACTCATCAACTGCCCTGCTACACGGACAGACCCCGAAGAGGGCTGCGACCTTGCAAGAAATGCAAAACCAACTTTGGGTTGCAGAAGTGAGGCGCCCCTGACCTTACCCTCGCTGGCGTTCCCGACGGCCTCGGCTCCACCGGTCACACCGGGTTTGGACGCCAGCATCGCCAGAACCAGCAGGCGAAGGAGACCCATGGCTGCCCGGGCCAGGCCCCGCAGCCTCACCGGCGCTACCCGGGGGCGCTTGCGCCGAGTTCCATCACTTTCGAGGTGCACACGCCGCACACCTGCCAGCCCCGCAGCGCCTGCGTGCAACGCCAGCGGTGCCTTCACCCGCAGTGAGGTTTCCTGTTCCGGCAAAAACCTCGCAGCCCCATACTGCGCCTCTCCCCGCCCCCCTTACGTCACCGCCGCGGGTACCCTCCACGGCCGGCGGAGACCGAGGGGCGTTTCCAGCCGGCGCGCGCGCCTCCTCCCGGCGCCCGGCGGCGTCGCTGAGCGCCGCTCACCCCGCGAGTCCCGACGTGCCCGCGCGCGAGTGGGGAGTCGAGGAAACCCGGGGAAGTTCTGTGGTGTAACCTGCACATCGCACTTTTGTATCTTTCCCGGTTACGAAAACCGCCGTTAGAGTAAAAAATAACTTTCTGTTGCGGGCTAACGTCTCCGGGCTCCTGTTCCCGTGTTTAACTGCCGTTTGCAAAAAGGGAAAACAGGAAGGAATCCGGTGCTCAAGACGCACAAACAATGGGGTTTCCCTTAGTTGTTCAGGCTGACGTTAGTATGAAAATGCAGGAAGGAATTGAATGTGTGCACGGATTAGTACATTAGTGATGAGCACCACATTTAAAAATAAAGTTTCATTTTCTCTAAGCGAAATATCCTCGAAATAACCCAACTTCCTCTCCCAAATTTTATATATGAGCAATGTTTAAAGTACAGTAGTCCATGTGACAGATGGCTCGTGAGCTGATTGTGGAATTACGTTTATAGACTCAGTTATTTGGGGGAAGATTGCTCTGTTTTCTCTTGTCTGCTCTTCAAATTTTTCATTTAGATATTTTAATGGGCAACTTTCTTGAAAAATACATATTCGATTATTCCACTACTAAATTAAAAACCTATAGCAATCACCATAATCCAAACAGGCACAACATTTTTCCCGTTTTCCCTCTTCCTGGTCCAAATGTTCATAACTTTGGTGGCACTGTCTATCCCTATGGTGTTTGTTCACTGCCCCAAATGCTCTCATTCCTGTAACCCTCAATAGATGAACTCTCAGGATGATAACAATTATAATAAGGGTAGCATTTGAATCAAAGGATGGATTTAATAAACTGATAACTTATTAACTGCACCCTATTGGGGAGGCAGGATTAGAACCCTATCTCACCCTATCAAAATGAAATCCTGAAGTACTAAATAAAACCATAAGGGAGTTAGAAGAAAAAAATGCTTTAAAAAAAACAAAAAAACAAAAAAACTTGATCTCAGAATGGAAGGAACCTTTTTTTTTCCCAAAAAGTTTATTTAAGCAAGAATCTATTTGGTTTTTTTTTTAATTTTTTTTTTCAACGTTTATTTATTTTTGGGATAGAGAGAGACAGAGCATGAGCGGGGAAGGGGCAGAGAGAAAGGGAGACACAGAATCGGAAACAGGCTCCAGGCTCTGAGCCATCAGCCCAGAGCCTGACGCGGGGCTCGAACTCACGGACCGCGAGATCGTGACCTGGCTGAAGTCGGACGCTTAACCGACTGCGCCACCCAGGCGCCCCTAAGCAAGAATCTATTTGAATCTGAACGCACCAAACAGGAAGTGGTTAGAAACATTCAGGGGAGGAAATTTTTTTAAGTTTATTTATTTATTTTGCGAGAGAGAGAAAGGGCACTCGTGCGCAAAAGTGAGGAGAGGAGCAGAGAGAGGGGAGAGGGAGACTCCCAAGCAGGCTCAGCACTCTGAGTGCAAAGCCTGGCTTAACTCACAAACCGTGAGATCTTGACCTGAGCCAAAATCAAGAGTCAGATGCTCAATGGACTGGGTCACCACCCAGGTGCCTCCTCAGGGGAGGAACTTTCTAAACAAAAAAAAAAAAAAAAAAAAGCAAAGGAGGAAACAATAAAGGAAAAGACTGGTAGATTTGGCTACTTAAAAATTTAAATTGGAGAGGGGGAGACGCCTGGGTGGCTCAGTTAGTTAGCCTCTGACCTCTTGGGCTCAGGTCATGATTTTGTGGTTTGTGAGTTCAAGCCCTGCCTCTGGGCTCTGTGCAGATGGCTAGAAGCCTGGAGCCTGCTTTGGAGCCTGTGTCTCCCTCTCTCTCTGCTCCTCCCCTGCTCATGCTCTCCCAAAAATAAATAAACATTTTAAAAAAGTTAAATTTAAAAAAAGTTAAAAGTTAAAAAAAAGTTAAATTTTAAAAAAAGTTAAATAAACAAAAAAAAAGTCCCTGGCGTGGCTCAGTCAGTTGAGTGTCTGACTCTTGATTTTGGCCCAGGTCATGATCTCACTATTGTGAGATGGACCCGTGTCAGGCTCCCTACTGAGCATGGAGCCTGCTTGGGATTCTCTCTCTCCCTCTGCCCCTTTCCCACGCGAAAGCATGTGCTCTCTCTCAAAGAAAAAAAAATGTTTCTCAAAAATCATGTTTTAGAAGACAACTGATTGTGAAGTATTTATGAAAATGCAAGTTACAAAGCAATAAATATATGTAGTATGAGCTTTGTCTTGTTTTCTTTTTATTCATGTTTATATGCACATATCTAAATGTTTATAAAAACATATCTAAATGTTTACTATTCTTAAATTTATTTATTTATTTTGAGAGAGAGAGAACATGAACGAACAGGGAGAAGAAGAGAGAGAGAGGGAGAGAGAAAGAATCCCAAGCAGGCTCCATATTGTCAGTGCAGAGCCCGATTTGGGGTTTGAACCCATGAAATGTGAGGCCATGACCGAAGCCTAACTCACGAGTCAGACACTTAACTGACTGAGCCACCCAGGCACCCCAACATATCTAAATGTTTAAAATAGTTATTCTGAGTGAATGGATTAAGAATAATTTTTCCACACTTCTGCACTTTGTAAAAAATTCAACATTGAACAGGTATTGCTTTGAATAAAAAATTTTAATTTTTAAAAGATATGTATAATTCTAAAGATTTTCTTATAAAAACGTTCAGGATAACAGTCCACCTTCCTGAGTAGGACACAATGGTTTTCATGATGTAGTTCCTGTCCACCTCTCCAGGTTCGTGCTGCAATTAAATTTAATTCCTCTATGTTAGCCACTGAATTAATTTCAGTTTCCTGAACTAACCCCATTCATTGTCTCCCCTTCATACCTTTGCATAGCAGTTCCCTTTGCCTGCAGAGGACAGCTGATGACAGATGTGTCAGCAATCAGAAGAGGGCTTTATTACCTTGGCCCTGAAATACTGTGACAGCTTGAGAAAAATATTGGCTGAGGTTCCTTGCTCTTGTCAGAGTTCCACTGGAAAGCTATGAATCAAATTGGCTCAGGAGCTTTGCAGGTAAGTTTCTCATGCCACGAATTGAAAGAAAATGCAAAAACTGAGAAGATTCCCAAACCCCAAATACAGATAACTAGAGCCTTAAAGTCTGCTTAAAATTTAGAAAAGGAAGGAAGAAAAGCAACTTATCCTAGATTTTTTTTTTTAGAAAACCCAAGATCTTGGATAGAGATGGGAACAGGGCTCCAGGGGAAAGGCAGAAAAGGCATTCTGTGAAACTTGCTCAACTCTTTTAACAACTTTTTTGTTTCTGTGGGTTACATTGTTTTGACAGTGTTTATTAAATATAATCCAATAAATGTTTACTTAGTAACTATTACATGGAAATTATTATGCTAGAAAATTTATTCATTTAGTCTGCAAATATGCATTCATTGGCTTCTATGTGCCATGCTAAATGCTGGGTGCTAGGTATTGGAAATACAGAGAAAATTAAAATGCTTCCTGTTCACAAGGAGCTCATGGTAGTGAGTTAGTGATGTATGAATAATCACACCTCGGGGCACCTGAGTGGCTTAGTGGGCTCAGTCTGACTCTTGGTTTTGGCTCAGGTCATGATCTCATGGTTCGTGAGTTCAAGCCCCAAACTGGGCTCTGCTATGATAATATGGAGCCTGCTTAGGATTCTCTCTCTCCTCTCTTTCTGCCCCTCCCCCACTCAGGCATGCATGCATGCATGCATGCATTCATGCACACACACACACACGTGCACACACGGCTCTCTAAATAAATAAATAAATAAATAAACTTTTAAAAAACGAATAATTACACCTCAATATGCCAAGTGCAATAACAAAAGTATAAGGAACAATTGTGATGAAGATTGGGAGCAATTAACTTAGTGTAGGTTTCCAGAAAGTTTTTCTAAAAAAACAGAAATGTTTAAAACAAGGTGAGTGGATGGTCAACAAGGGGATGAAGGGAGTCTAGTATACTAAATGTTTATTTATAGTATTTCAGCCCAGTGCTTGGAATGTTTTAGATGTTTAATAAATTGTGACTGAGTAGGTAATAAAGGTAGTTAAGAGTCTAGGATGTTAAGTTAAAGAGTTGTTAAAGATTTTTTTTTCTGAAAAAATAGGGAGTCACTACAGATTAAAAAAAAAAATCAAAGTACTTACCACAAGACTGGCTATGAGTTGATAATTGAAGCTGGGTGATGAGTGCATTCGTGTCCACCTTACTATCCTACTTTTGTATAGGTTTGAAACTTTTCATAATATGAAGCTTGGGGTGCCTGGCTAAGTCGGAAGAGCATGGACTCTTGATCCTGGGGTTGTGAGTTTGGGCCCCATATTGGGTGTAGAGATTACTAAAAAAAATAAATAAACTTAATATGTAATACTGGGTTTCTACTCTTCAACCCATATAATCAGTTGGGGATGCAAGAAAAGCAAATGAAAAAGCATATGAAAAAGTGTAAAAATCATAAAATGGAAAAAGGAGAGATCCATGTGAACTCCAGTAATTCTTAAATTGTACATGAAAAAGGTAAAACTTTAAAAGATAGAGTATAAATTAAATGATGGCAAAGAAATTGTTTTGACAAAGGTAAACAACAAGGAAAGAGATATACTAGTAGCTCTCAACTGGCAGAAATTTTGCCCCACAGGAGACATTTGGGAATATCTGGAGATATTTTGTATTGTCACAATTGGAAGGGGAGTTTGCTGTTGTCACTTCATGGGTAGAGGATAGTGATAATGCTAAACATTCTACAATGGGCAGGATAGCATTCCAGAAAAAATAATCCAGCCTAAAATGTCAATAGTGCTGCTGTTGAG